CCTTCCTTTCCCAACATCGACCTTGACCAGTAGGAAGTAGCTATAATGAGAAAACACCGCCCCATCCTATAACACAAAAGACTGGAATGTTAGAGTCCAGGTCTGCAGACAACCCTCTCCCAGTGTAAATAGCCTCACAAAACAGACCATGAGGGCACCCTTGCAAAACAGGAACTGGCCAGACAGTTACATTTAGAGCTGTCTCAGCACAAAGCTGTTCCCCAGATAATTTTAGATGAACAGGTCCCTGCACCCAGACCCACTGATGTAAGAGCTGTCTCAGTTCAAGCTACTTCCCTTGAAACTGTAAAGATTATTTTTGGCAATTTTCACATTCCCCACCCCCCTATAAGAATGTCCTCAGCAGTCAGCAGGCTGCTGGTTGCCTTTCTCTCCCCAACTGAGCTGCCAGCCACTGTGGGTCTCTCCCTCATCTCGTGGGCCATTGGCCACCGACCCAGGAGAACAAAGTGAGCCAACAAGCCACCAGCAATCCTAAGAAATAAACTTTGCTTTTCTGGAGTCCTCCTATGTTTCCTGTGGCTATTGCCTGCCTGGCTTTTATCTAACACTTTGAACTTAATTTCTACAATCAGGAGTTATAAAATTATTCCATATTTGAAAACTGGAAACTAAGTAAATATAAACCTATGTGTACATGGTTTTCAAAAATAGTGGGCAAGATTTATTGTGCCCCCCACCAAAGTTAATTTTAATGAAAAATAATATGTCATTAGATTCACAAGGACTTGGTTGGGTTCAGGAAAACCAAACTTTAATTTCATCCATTGAAGAACTATGAACAGTGCTGCCTACAGGAAAAATCAAGCAGGTAGAGTGTGAGCTGGCAAAAAACACAAAAAAATCCAGAGTTGATTAAAATGAAAGTCAGAGATAACGGCAAGATTTCCTATTTAGGAAATTGTGGCACTCTTAATTCAGCTGAGGATCCTTAACTATCTTGATGCCCTTGATACAGCCAAGATGAGTTGAAATGGAATCTCTGAGGATAGACCCACACATCATTACTCATCATTACCACCCAGTTGACTCCTCACATTGAGATTGAGAACAACCGATAAGGTCAAAACAAGGGAGTCCAGTAGTAGAGGTAGTAGAGGAAGGACCTAAGTACAGCTCTACTCAGCTGAGTTCAGCTTCCAAGCCATCTGGGAGGGAATTAAGGAGTGAATCTTAGGAAGAGCAGGGCAGCTTGAGATTTTGGAGGGGTATTCATTCATGCATTCAATAAGCATCTCTTTAAGTCTGATAAGTGATAGGATACAAAACTCAACAAACACGGTCCCTATAACCCTGGAGGAGGCACAGAAGATGTTTCTGAACAATTAGCTAGCATAGACTGTTGTCAGGGGAAGACGATGGAAGCTTAGATTTAACAGGATGTAATATGGAAATGAACCCTGAAGGAAAGCAGGAGCACACAGAGATCAAAAAGCCTGAGCCTGGTTGTTAGATCGGCTGAGGTCAAACTGACCTACAGAGGTCAGTTTCCACAGCAGCAGAGCAGGGAGGAATGATAACGTTCAGAACTGAAGCTATCCAAATGGTGCCACGCAGAGAAGGCTAGAGAAAATACTACTACGGGGAGGTGGGGGTGCACATAAATACTAAAACAAGGAACACAAAGTAGGTGCCCTGTACCTGCAAGAGTTTTAGCCTCAAACTGTGTTGTATTATCTGGATCTGGGCCTGGATGACCTTGGACCAGTCACTTATTTTCTGCTCGTTACTTTTTCCTCTCTAAAATGATGGGAACAGAGATTGTGTGATTTTCAGAGTCATGTCCTGTTCTGACAATCTAAATTTTTTAGTGGTGAAAAATAGAATCACTGATGGAATTCACTCAGCTGTATAAATTGTGATGGCAAGTTGCTTTCCTCTTACATGCATAAGTACTAACCACCCCAGTCACTGCATTCTGTGAACAGCTTCCCCTAGAATCCAGCTTTTTCAAAGTTGAGCTAGAAAATTGTACCGCCTGTTTTCCAGGGCCATGAAAGAGTAGCATCCTGTTATCCTTAAAGTCACAAATTCTGGAGTCTGATGGTTTTCCACTAGCAATGTGACTATGTGGAATAGTATCTACATAAATTAACTAATCTATACAATCTGGTTTCATACTTACTTTGGGATTAGATACGACAACTCACATAATGTATTTAGAATGCATCTAATTTACAGAATTAGCAGAGAACACATTACATTCTAGAGCAAGGACAGACAAAAAGCAGACCCTGTGCCAGCAGAGTACAGACTGCCCATTCTTATCTTCTTCAAGTTCTCTTTGAATTCAACAGAATCCTTTAACAAGTAAAATGTCACATTCAGTCAAAAACTTCAAATACTGGCAGTAATACAAGCTTTAGAATTGAATGACCATGATTCAAACGCTAGCCAAGCCATTTATTAAATCTATTTTCCCAAATCTCAGATTACTTTTAAAAGTGAAGCAATGCTAGCTACCTCCCAAGACTAATGATTAAATTAACATAGATTTCCAGTCCCAGGCATTAAGCATATTTTAAAAAGTGGTATCTTGCTTATTTTCATGAGGCATCATGACTTACACATACATAAATGCTTAGTGGGGCTGGAAAGAGGTCTCTGGGGGTAAAAAACTTGCCATGGGAGTGTGAGGACCTGAGTTATAATCTCAAGAACATACACAGACCTGGGTGCAGTAGTGTGTATCTGTAATCCCACTGCTCCCATGCTGAGATGGGAGGCAGAGGCAGGGGAATGCCTGGAAACTTGTGGACCTGCTCCTCTAACTTATGCAGCTACTAACAAAAATGACCCTGTGTCAAACAAAGTGGAAGGTTTTAGCTAACCTTAGAGGTTGTCCTCTGACCTGTGTACACACATATAGCATTTGTGTGCCTGAACACCCACACATGTGCACACATATCACACATACACATATTATGAAAAATACTTAGGAAGGGGCTGGAGAGATGGCTCCCTGATTAAGAGCGCTGGTTACAGAGGACCTGGGTTTGGTTCCCAGCACCCACATGGTGGCTAACAACCATCAGTAACTCCAGTTCCAGGCGACCAACGTCCTTGTCTGAGCTCCCTGGACATTGCACAACATGGGTGCACTTACATACATGCAGGTAATATACTCATACAAATAAAATAAAAACAATAAAATAAAAATGCTTAGAAAGAGTTCTTAGAGTTGGAACTAGAGCAAGACTGTGCTCCTGGTATCTACATACTTAATTCTTGTTCTTGTCTAGAATTCTGCTTCTTTTGTGAATTTAACTTGGCTGTGACTTCTACCATCCTTCTCCTAGACCACAGGAACATTAACTGGATTGATTGATATTCACCCCTGAGGAAGAGGGGGAACATGGATAAAGTTACAGACATAGAAAGAAATGACTGCAGCCACTGCTATCACCCTGGAGCACAGTCTGCCCGGTCATGGTTGAGGTAACACGGGGCTTGTCCTCAACCTTGCTTCCGTTCAGCCACCACTGTCCACAACACACTCTTTGCTATTTCTCTAGTTCTCTCTCAACCCTGCCACGTAAGAAAATCAGACAGAAGAAAATAAAAAAACGAACCAGCCTCCCAGCAGAAGCCGGAAATAGACAATTTATGAGAATGCTTCGTTGCTTCCCAGTTCTCATTCCCCACTGAAGGACATTAGCACCAAGACCAACCTATGCTAAACTTGACTTTCTCCTTAACGTTGCTCCACCACACACTGCACTGCAGGCAAAATAATTTGCTAGAGGCCATAACCGGAGAAAGAGACGAGGTTGATGATGACAACAAAGAGGTTTTCAACAGTGTCAGTAGACACTGTAGTGACAAATTGACTAAAGAAATGGCCAAATGACAGCTAGTCCTCCAGGATAGATGGGAAGAGACTCTTAGTTATAGATGGGACCAACCTCATTATGAGAACTACCACCACAGCAAAAATGCTTCCTTTTAGATTTTAGAGCGTCAGATGTTAACTCACAGCTAGAAAAAGAGCAAACCAACTGCATTAGAGATCAGTGAATAAAACGTTAGCCCCCCTGGAGCAGAGTGTAATTGGCTTTGACCTCTGTGCTAAAATATACAGGAAACATGAGTCAGACCAGGTCTTCTTGCTCTCCCCACTTCCAGGGCCAAGAAACAGACTTGGAGAGCTGAGTTCCAGTTAGCCTTGGGCAGCAAAATCTACAGGCACAGAGTACCCATTTTCAGAAAAACTGACATCTCTGGGAGACAACCTGCTGCCTAGGAAAGTCTTATCTGGGGTTAACTGAACACAAAGAGAAAAGAAAAGTCCTGGTTCAAAGGAAGACTAGAAAAGAGTTTGGTCTTCTTGATGTGGATTTGCATTCCAAACATACTTGGCGCCACAGTCCCAGGGAAGCCCCTCTCTCCTTTCACCAGCTGGAAAACAGCTCCTAGGAGATGGAGTTGGAAGCCAAGAACTTGTGCGGCGGCGCCCACAGGTCCCTCAAGGAAGCAGGAGAGAAACAAAAGGCTCCCAAGGAAGCCTGCTGCAGTCCTAGACGACCCACCCTCCTCCCACCCCCGCAGATTTAAAGAGCTGGGCGCATGTCTCCAAACCCGAATTTCTGGAGTGAGGGTGGGAATGGGCACAATATCTCCAGCAGCTCAGTAATTCATAATTGTGAAGGTGTGTGTACTGACCCAAGAGGTCTCTGCCTTCCATGAACAGGCAGTAATCTCTAGATACGCACGCGCTGCAGCCCACATTGCCTAATCTACAAAGGGCCCAGGAAGGGGCGCACAGAGGAGCCGCCCTCCGCCCAAAGGCAGCGGGATCCGAGCCGGGCTCCGGATTCCCGGGCCGGGGCTGCGAGCCACCCCTTCCTTCTGGGCTGGATGCCCACCTGGCTTCACCTGGAGCGGGAAGCGCCGCCCTCCTCAGCCCTGCGCGCAGCAGGTGCGCGGGGTTGGGTCCAGGCCCCGCGCTGCCAGGCGCCCCGCAGCGGCCGCAGCGCGCTGGAGCGGAGAGGAGGAGCCACCGGCCCGGGCGGGTGGAGTCGGGAGTCGGAGGGCGGCGGAGGCGGATTTCCTGGGCCAGCTCTCTTGGGCTACCATGGCGTTTGGGAAGAGTCACCGCGATCCCTACGCCACCTCCGTGGGCCACCTCGTAGGTAAGCAGGCGCGGGGAGATATCGCGGCTGGCGTTGGGGACCGTGGGAGCCTGGCTCGCCGCCTCCATTCTCGGCCTGAGAGGGACCCTGTTGGACCGAGGTGGAGGAAATGGTCCTCTCCCCCGCAGCTTTCCCACGCCACCTGCGGCCCCTGTCCGCTTTTCTTGGCCCATTCATACCAGAACCTCCCCTTCAAAATGCAACTGTCCCTTTGGATGGCAGCTGGGAAGTGCAACCAAACAGGTGACCCGCAACACTCAGCGTGGGGCGTTGGGGCCTCCAAGGAGGCAAGGACCGGAAACTTCTGGACCAGGGAAGGTTCTTCATAAAGTGCGTCCATTCCTGATTCGATATTGCTATACCCATTTTACAGACCGGAAGAGAAGGCGCAGAGAGGCTAATTGACTTGACCTTACCGCCGAGGCATGTTTCTCCAAACCACTTTTCTTTGACGCCCAGCTCAGGCAATCTGAGTTGCCTTTTCCATAAACGAGGATATTGAAAATTATTGATGTTAGAGTAAAGGACAGGTAGGGGGGAGGGAGGCGGGGGGGGGAACAGGAGTCATCTGGGGTCAAGAGGACCTTTGTAGAACACGAAGGACCACGCCAACATCCTCCCCCTCCACTTCAACTCCGTGTTTGTGTCACAGACTACCTGGCTTTTTGCCACCTCAGCTCCCTTTGCCCGATTCTTCCCTTGGGGACAGGGTGTGGTACCAGGGCGTATTAATACCAGGCAGACTGTTGGTTACTTAGTGGAGTGAGGTAAGAACCTGTAGTAAGAAGGGTCAGATTCGGCGAGTTTAGGTCACATCTCAGTGACGTATCTGCTGTGTGGTAGGAAACACCTTTGAACCTGAACCTGAATTTCCAAAGTTTATAATATGGGAAAAGTGGTTACCCTTGAGGAGGAAACGCTTTCTTAGATGCCTCTCTCCCTGCTGATTAGTGAGATTTAAAATGAGCCCTGAGAAAAAATGAATCCACACTAAATCTTCACAGGCAAAAGAAGCTCCAGCAATATGTCAGATTCTTTAGTTAGGTAATCATTCACTAACTACCACCTGTATGCCTTAGGGAATATGTGGTCTCAAACCTCAAGGGACTCACTTTCTTATAAGCAGGATGAGCATATTTTGTGCTAACTACCATATGACAACTTTACAATACAAGAAAAAAAAATGTATGGCACACAAAATGTGTGAAAAGGGAGACTTGAACTCAGGCATGGCCTTTGAAGGGTGAATAGGAGTTCTCCAGAAGTGAGCAGGTTGGGAAGGAGAGCAGGGAATGAGGAAGAAACATCTAGAAGATGGAACAACACGATGTGCCTGACCACACACACAAGCTCAGCTTTGTCTATCCAGTGCAGATTCAAGTAGCCCAAGACAGTGTTCACCCAGGCTTAACTTTGTCATTGAAGCTAGTAAGGTAGTAAACTCATTCACACTGAGACTCTCTTAGCCTTTCCCTGATAAAGCTCTGTGCTCTTAAAGAGGATATCTAGAGAAGAAATTTATCCAACTGATAATGTTGAGGTTCCAGGTAAAGGAGTGTGTAAATCTGCTTGGTGTAACTTTGGTGCCAGAAGGGAACTTGCTAGTAATTATATCTCCCCCCACCCCCCAACACACATAAATGATTTTAAAAAGCAAACAGTAGGATCAAACATCAACCTTGATTTGAACACAAATCCTACCTCCTACTTAAGGTATGACCTTGAGTAATTTCCTTATCCTCTCTGAATTTCTCTTTCATCACCTGAAACTGTGGGTTAAATGAAATTACATAAGATAAAAGACTGAGTAATGTGACTTGTCTGTGACTGCCCAATTAGTCACAGTTCTGAAGTTCTGTTCTCTGAAAGAGAAAAGAGGATGGAAATTCAGCCTGTTTTGGCCCTGTGGCCAGATGGTGTGCTTGCTAGCTTTCTTAATAGTTCACTCATTACTGTTACAACAGCAGAACTCTGAACTTGATTTCTGATTGATACCTGAATTACTGAGACTTGTTCAGAGGAAAAAAATTACTTTGCCCTTTGGTAATATAAACTGAATGGTACTTGGTAGCACACCCTAGGCAGATTATTTCAGGAGACCAGATAATTTTTATTCTGTTGTGGCTCAGACTCAACACAAACAGCTTTATCTTTCAGAAAAGGCTACATTTGCTGGAGTTCAGACTGAAGACTGGGGCCAGTTCATGCATATCTGCGACATAATTAACACTACACAGGATGGGTAAGTTCACAGTGGCATCCATGCATTTGTGCCTGATAAGAAACATCAGAACATAGCTTTTTTTCTCTTGCCAGCTCTTGGGTGTTCCTGTTGAGTGCTTCACCATCCCTTAGGCACCTGTTATCATATGAGGATGACGGGTTGACCTATTGGAGCATCTTCTTGCTCTAGCAAGCAGTGTCTGATTCCAGAATTCCTTTCCTCATTTTCTGCCTGTTCTTTAATGGTTTCAAATTTCACCTTTGGCTGGCTCAAATTCCTTGTTTTTAAAAGATTTAGAAGAGAGAGATAAATTGTTTCTCTCTTTAGGGGTTTTTCCTCCTCTAATTGCTAGTGCTTTCCGTAACTGAAAACATTATCGAAAAGCTGGAAGCTAGTTGTCTTCTGGTAATGTACACATGGGTGGTGACCAGCCTTCTTGATCATCCAGGAAACTCCCTCGAGCAGTCTTTTTCCTTCTTGTCACAGGACAGCCCTATCATAATGCTGACTCACCCGAGTTCATGCTGTTTGTGTACATGGTGTGCTGTTTATTGATACACAGTCTAAACTTTAGAGTCATTTGAAGTTATAAAAAAATCATTTAAAAAGTCACTAACAAGGGTACTACTTTAAATTTAGTCAAGTATATGTTATAAAAGATGAAATTTTGTTCATTTTCATGAACTTTTCATTTTTTGAGATAGGGTCTCACTATGTAGACCAGCCTGGCCTCGAACTCACAGTTTTGCCTGCCTCTGTCTCCCGAGTGCTAGGAGTAAAGGTGTGCACTACCACACCTGGTTTTTCCTAAACATTTTAAAGAGATAATTGGTAATAAAAGGGGTTTAGTTTAGCTTGCATTGAAGAAAACATGCCGACACAGCTTATAGTTATATATTAATGGAAAGTACCTATAATTGACATGAGTTTGTAGTTGTTTTCTTTTTAAAAAAATATTATTTATTATTTTTATTTTAAATGTATTGCCTACACGTGTGTAAGTGCACCATGTCTTGCATATAGTTGTTTTCTTAATGTGTCTGGTGTGTATACACATATATGTATGCATGTTCACATGTGTTTGAGCGCATGTGTGTGCTCCTACTTGTGGAAGCCCAAGGCTGATGTCATGAGTCTGCCTGGGTTGCGCTCAACCTTATTCATTGAGGCAAGGTTTCTCAGCTGAACCCAGAGCTGGCCAGTAAGGCTAGTTAGCCAGTCAGCTTGCTCTGGGAATCCTTCTCTGCCTTTCAAGTGAGCACAGGAATTACAGGTGGGCTGTTCCACCAACCGTGCATTTATCTGGTTTGGGGGATCTCAACTCAGTTCCTCACTCTTGCACAGCAAATACCTTCCCCACTGAACATCTCCTCAGTCCTGAGTTTATAGGGATTATTTTTCTATATATAATCTGTATACTGTCCTTAGATTCTCTGTGAACCTTTTCATTACTAATATCAATTTCTTCATTGATAATGTAAAAAAGAAATCTAATAAATTAAATTTTGAACCTGTACTCATAGATCTTCCTAACATAAAGTTGTAGCATACCAGAAACTGACCTAGTCTGTTGTAATTCTCACATCCCCTTGCCTGTAAGGTGCTCGGGAAATGCTAAACCGACTTAAAGGGATCAATTCCATTGTTTTAGGAGTTAAATTTCCTGTAAACTGCTATGTGCCTTGAGTGCATTTCATGGTCAGTGTTTTGTAGATAATTCTCCTACACAAATATTTCATTTGAATCTCACCAGGTGGTATGGTGTACATATTTCATGAGGAAACCTAGATAAGTTAAGGACCAACCTGAGGTGAGCCAGTGGAATCAAGCCTTGGTCTTCTGCTCTTGAGCCTTTCCTGTTTCCATACTGCATGCTGCTTTTCAATAAGACTGCTTGCTTGTAGGTAATTTCAGTGTATTTCTTGCTATAGGCCAAAAGATGCAGTGAAAGCTTTGAAGAAAAGGATTTCCAAAAACTACAATCACAAAGAAATCCAACTTTCTTTATCAGTAAGTACTTTAATATTATGATTAAGACTGGGCTTTCCTAGCCTGTAGTTAACATTCATAATGTGGATTTTTAAAAATGCAAACATTCTAAGAGGTGCCTATCAGGCAATAATGAGAACATACTGCAAGACTCATGACTCTTCATCTGTCGAGAATTGCAGGTGGGAGTTTAGTTGACTACAGTACCACCCTGTTTTGTAGAAAGAAAGTATTCCTAAAGAGTCACTTTTCCCTGGTCAGGACCTGGGAACTTGCTAGTGTTTGTATTGGCCACATTTGAAGATGGGGAAATGGAAGCCTTGGAAGACACCTTGTCAGCTTTCTACCTTCCCCGAACACTTGTGTGGAATCTTGAGGCACTGGCAGCTCACTGAATTTCAACCAACTTCCGCTGCTTGGTATAATTTGGAGAATATTCTCTGTCAATTTAAGCAGTTCTCTGCACTGTTTCTTCTGTGATACAGATGCGAGCTCTTTCTGTTTTGTTCCCATTTCCCCGTTTTTGACCATATGACCTCTTCAGTCACAGGGGTGAGTTGCCCCTTTTACCTTGGGAGTGATCTGTGAGGCTTTCTCATTTCTTCTGTTTGGTGGTTATGGCCAGCATCGCTGCTTTTAGGAACAGCGGCAGTGTTCACCCAGAGGGCTATGGAGCAGATGTGAGCATAGTTCCCACTTTCTGGATTCACATAGAAGATGGTGTATCACATCCTGTGTACTTGGGGACTAGTCAAATGAAAAGAAATGAATTAAAGAGCATCCATGATACAACTATGAAAGAAACCCTTTAGTTGGGGTCTGACTATAGTTTTGCAAGCATTTTCCTCCTTTCTCGTTTTTTGACTCACCTCTGTCTTTACCACATGCAGGCAGCTCAGGAAGAGCACAGAATGACTGATGGAAACTATTGAGAAAGGACTATCAGAACAGCGGGGCCATTATAGAAATGCCTGGGACCAGTGAAGATGGTTGTCTTATTAGACCATTGCACAGATGATGAAGTAGACTAGGAGTGGTTAAACAATTGTGCCAGGACTAAATTGCTATTAGTAACATGTGGAATTTGAACCCAGTCCTAGGACTCCAAATTCCATGGCGTTGCCTATAAAACTTTGCTTCTCAGAATGTATCAAGTCCCTTGTATGTCTCTTTGTGTCTTCAGCTGCTTCCTCCATGCATGGTATAGGGTCAGATGTACCAGTGTATCTGATGTAGACTGAATTGATTGTCACCCTCCCCCCGAGCCCAACTTCATCCCGTTTCTTCTAGTGAGTCTCCAGAAGACTCAAAGACTAATTTAAGGTATTATAGAGCTAGGGTAGAAAGAAATTTAGATAACACCAAATGAAGAAGAGCCAAGATATCTCAAGGGTATGTGTACGTGTCTGTGTGTCTGTGTGTGTGCGTCTGTGTCTTTGTGTGAAACGGACTTTGACTCTTGCTAGCGGCATGCAGATTTCCCTGTGTTGTACACATCCTGGCCCATGTGCCTCACCTCAGCTCACTTGTCTTTCAAAGTTGTGCTCAAAACCCTTGTATTGACTTCAGTAGGCATTTAGACCAAACTGAATTAAGGGAGAAATTAGTCACAAAGGGAACTGCCCAATGTCTGTCAAAGGCAATTATAAGTTTACCAATAAACTATTTAAAAAGTAACCCCATATGTGATGTTTCCATCTTACTGCTATGAAGGGATGAGAGGCTGTCTAAGTCAATTATGAGTGTCCTTTATACTGTCTGTCATCCTGGGGTCTCTATAGACTTGTTACCCTTGGTTAAGTCTCATAGAATCTGACTACACTATGATTTCCTTCTGTCAGTCAGTAGAGCAGTTTTATTGAGAAGCCAGAACATTTTTTGTTTTTGCAGTGCTGGGAATGGAACCCAGGCCCTTGTGTATGCTAGGCAAGGGCCCTACCACTGAGCTATACCCAAAGCCTAGAAAGTCAGTAATTCTGTTATGTTTTGGGATTTTTTGTTTTGTTTTGTTTTGATTTTACAGTATTTCTACCAGAAATACTAAGCCAGAGAGCCTTTTCTTGAATGAGTCATTTGTGACCAATCTTAGCAAGATCCTACTGTCATTGTCAAATGGAAAGTGGTTGAACAGGTTCCTAAGAGTCAATAAATTTAATAGTTCTTGTGGAACACCAACCTTAAACAGAGTTACAGTGATTTCAGAAGACATGCAAAGGTAGCTACCCTCTAGTATCTTGTTACACCAGAAACAATGAGGAGACTCAGCTTTCTGTAGGAAAGTCTAGTGTGAGAGAGTAGCCCTGCCTCTGTGGTCACAACTGGTATAGCTCTGATGGACCTGAAGCCTAGACCTGTCATTGTGCCTGGTTCCATTACAGTGAAAAGCAAAACTGCTGAATAGCTCTTTTTCTTCCAGCTGTCTCTGAAATTTTCACACCAGCTAATGGGCACACTGTATCCTGCTAGAACATTCTCCATAAACAGATGTATCTGGCTCTTGGTACATATTACATTCCATCAAGTCCTGACAGCAACTCCTAGAAGGAAGCGCAACACCCATTTTGCAGGCAAATTTACCACAGCTTCAGATAAATGATTTGCTCAAGCAAGTACAAAATAGATTGGTAAAGCTCTGAGTTACTCATCTCCATTTTTCTTGGTGGCTTGGCTCTTGTGTTCTATCTCCCACTTCAGATTATGGATTCCTGCTTGTCCTGTTTCCAAAGATAGGTTATCTGAGCACATTTTCACTGGAGCTAGATAGCAAAATATGTTAAGCCACTTATATGTTTGCTCATTTACCACAGTAGGTTATAGAATCTGAGTGAGCTGCGGGGTGAGGCATGATGGAGGGGGTGATAGAGAAGTAATTAGCCCTGACATTCTTGATTCCAGTGGGAAAACACAAAGGCCATGATTGCTGATCTCCAGATGTTAGCATTCTTAGATTTTCATGTTGACTCTTTGATTTTTGTACATGTACCTCTGGGGAGCGTGACCCATTATCATAATGTATTAGAGTGCCAAAGATAAAAATTAGTTTGTAGAATATTTAGCAAGAAAATCACCAGTGATCTTATTGTAAGTGAAAGGGACATGAAGCTAGATATCTTACCCCAGACTGCACAGGCATTCCGATGAGATATTTCTTCAAGCTTACACTGAACTAGAGACACTTGTCCTCAGCATCTCACCCGTTAAAAACCGATTTTAATATCCCGTCACACTCCATGTCATTTGTTATCCGACTTTGCCTAGCCAACTTACATCCATCTACATCCGTCTTGCTGTGGTTTGGGTTTTGTTTCTGTGTCCTTCTGCACTCAAGGTCTTCCCTGTGTCTCATCCCTTCACGTGCATAGCTTCAGTATTTTCTGATTGCTTCCACAGTCTCACTGCTTTAAAAGTAGAACTTTTGTAACTGCTATTGCCTTTTATGTTACGTGAAAGCGACACTTAAAATATCATATGCATTGGAAAGTCAGGTGTCAGGGCTGCTTTTCTGCAGAGATCGTGGTAGCTTTCCCGGTCAAATTCTGCTCTCTGGCCTCACAAACTAAAAGTGACATGGAGATTTCGTTTCATCTTTAGATGGTTTTTAGGAATCTACTTTCTGGTGCAGTTCTTCCGTGGCAGTTCATTCTTTCTTAACCCAATTTCTGCCTATGTTGCTGTATTCAAAGCGCTTAGTCCAAAGTGACTAATGGCCCCACTAATGAGCAAGCCTGTCTGGTTTTTCTGTCCACATTAACTGTTAACGTCCCTTCCTCCTGGAAGCTCCTCTTCGGACTTTACCATCATTATGTTGTCTTTTGTTTCTATTACTTTTGTTTTTCTCTAGTCCAGCGTCCCAGCTGTCCCTCTTCTTTGTTAATCCTTGGTGGCCTTGATTCCCTTGTGGCCCTTCACTCTCCTGATCTGCTGCTGTATATGTACAGTTCCCTGCTAAACATCTATGTGGATGTCTAGGTTTTCTTTCAGACGTAGAATATCTAAATTTCCACCCACCAGTGTTTGCTCCTGCAGTCCCTGGTCATGTCACCTCATCTGTTTTCAGATTCCATGACAGGCCCCTCAGTCCCACAGAGTCAAAGTCTCTTACCTTTCAGTCTTCTTGCTACAGCAAGTGCTCGTTCAGATGCTCTTGTGACTGTCTTTGCCTTGCACTCACACTACCTAGCCTCAACCTTTTCAGTGTCAGCTCTATACTGCTGGGTGTCTCCTGGATCTTCCTAACACTCCAGGTTTTTCCACCCTCCAATTTTCCTACGTAGAAGTACTGCTGGTACCTTTCCAGAATGTAACTTTGCACACGTGAACCTTTTCCTTGAGCTCGGAGTAAAGGTGTGAAAGTGACTAACAAAATTCCCTCAGGATTTCTTAGTGCCTTCAGAGTAATGTCTAGCCTGTTTAACCCTGCCATACAGATTTCTGTGCAGTCTGGATGTCCTCACAGACTTGATCCACACTACCTTCCCCATGCTATCAATTTACCTACATCAAGCAGCCACCGCTAGAGACAAATCAGAGCACAAATCTTCTCCCTCATAATTCATGTAGTTGGCCACCTTTATATTTTTACCCCATTGATAAGGTATAAGGAAAGTTTATTTGGGCTCATGGTTTCAGAGGTTTTAATTCATGATCACTTGGCCCACGGCCAGGCAGCATATCATGCGGAAATGTATGGCAGAGCACAATCACTTACCTCATGGCTGGAAAGTTAATAAGAGAAAGAAGCTGGGTCTGGTGCGATGGCTCAGCAGTTGAGCACTGACTGTTCTTGCGGAGGACCCAGGTTTGATTCACAGCACCCACATGGTGGTTAACAACCATCTGTAACTCCAGTTCCAGGGGATCTGATCCCTTCTTCTGACCTCCTCGGGCATTGCATGACATGGGTGCACTTACACACATGCAGGCAATGCACTCATACACATAAAAAAATAATAATAAAATATTTTTTTTGAAAAAAGAGAAAGAAGCCATAGACTCCTAGTCTCCTTTGAGGATACACCTGCCACGACCCAGAACTGCCCACTACGTACCATTCTTACAGGTTCTACCACCTCTAAACACCAGGCTTTAACACAGGCACCTTTGGGGGTCATTCCAAATGCAAACCCTAGCAGCATTTCTCTGTCTAGAGTACAGTTCCATACTCATTTCTAGTTTTGCTAGTCACTTTTCAAAGCCCAGCTTGGGATCAGCGTTTGTGTTAAAGTCTCATAATACAACCAGATCCTAAATAATAATTGCCTATCAGGTCTATTGCTAGGCTGACTTCAGTTTATCATTGAAACCAAGACATTTGAGAGTGAAAGGGTGTGTCATAATTATCACAGCCAAGACAATAGGAATGTACAAGGCTGACAGTAGATAAGCTGGGGCACGGTCTGAAGCCCATATGTTTTCTTGTGCTTCACATTTAGCATGTGGCATTTACTACTTGCAGTGCTGTATTTGTATCCACTCCCCATGAGGTGTAGCCTCTGGGCAGCCCCATTGAGCTTCTGCTTCCTCGTAGTCCTTGAACCTGACATTGCCATATATGTTAGTTTTACAGAAAGCAAATAGTGTTTTTCATTAGAATGCTGGTTTAGTAGCATTTGTGTATATGTGTGTCTTAATTAGGAGGTGATTTTGCCAGAGGACTGTAACATTTGCTTTTTCACTTTAATTTAGCTGATTGACATGTGCATGCAGAACTGTGGTCCAAGTTTCCAATCTCTGATTGTGAAGAAGGAATTCATTAAGGATGGTCTAGTTAAGCTGCTGAATCCAAGATACACTTTGCCATTAGACATTCAGAACAGAATCTTGGATTTCATTAAGGTATGTCTGTGGATAGAGCTCAGGGGAGAACTATGGGTGGTCTGAGTATAAGGATCTAATGGTTCAGCTTCTGACTGTTGTAACGATCCTTTATACCTTGGCATGAAGCATAATGCAGTTTTCTTCTGGCTTTTTGTTTTTGCTTTTGAGACTTGGTCTCTCTACCCTAGGTTGTCCTCTAAGTCTCTGTGTAACCAAGGATGACCTTGACCCCACTGCCTTCAGCTCCCAAATGCCCACTGTATGTGGTACTGAGGCTCAAACCTAGGGGTTCATGCATGTGAGACAAGCCCTCTACCAAGGGAACTCTATCATACATACTCAGCCACATGTTTTTCCTTTAAGTTTCTGTAGAGTGAGGTTTCTTGGGATTAGCCAGTATCCTTTTTCTGAAGAATGGATAGGCACTTCCCATCCGGTTTCTGTTGTATCCAGGTTAGGTTGAAAAGATAAAAACACACATGTTCAATCTGTAGACATGCAAACTGGGTTCTAGAGTAGATAACATCTAATTCAGAGTTATTTGGAAAAAAAAAAAAAACATACTGATACTATTTTAGACTCTGTTAATTTTGGATTTAGTGCAGCTGTAAGTGACTGCTATGTGTCCCCGCATTTCATCAAGATGTTGAAGCATGAGAATGATAACTTACAGCGTTTGATATTATTCTAGTCTTCAAAAATGAGCATTTTCTCCATGGCATCCAAAAGTCGCTCTTTCTTTCTGAGAAAAGTGCGTAATTGTCAGGTTCTCATTCTTTATCATAAGCTTAAGATTTAGTTTGTTTTTCCTGTTGTTTTAACTCTGGAACTTTATATCTCTTGAACTCAGACTTGGTCACAGGGCTTCCCAGGAGGTGTGGATGTGAGTGAGGTGAAAGAAGTGTACCTCGACCTGCTGAGGAAAGGCGTTCAGTTTCCACCCTTGGGTGCCGAGGCTGAGACAAGACGGGAGGTAGGAGGCTTTTTCTTTCATTCTTTCTTTTTTCACCCATGTAAAGTAATATATATTGCTTGGGTCTTTTCTCATCAAAAAGGATAACCCTAGCTCAACCAGCTTAGCAGAAAGATGAATTTGAGAATATATCTGTATCTCAGAAGATAACCAAAGCTTAGGACTTTGTCACTCAAAGTACCATTTGAGGGAGAATCTAGGAGTTTGTTAGATTTGTTCTGTGCTAAACTAAGTTGGAATCTTCCTTTTGACATTCTTTCTAGGTGTTTCTATGCACATTGATGTTGAGAAGCACTGACTTAGAGCCTCACCCTTAGGGCTAACCACCCACAGTTACAGATCAGGCTTGACCCAGGGAGCTACCCACTGGTGGAAGATATGTGTCGTTTTAACAACACAATGTGGGCAATAATGATCTCACTTGACAGTTTATCATGCAGTGTCTTGGTGAAATCCAAGAGTACTTTACTGAGTAGTCATTTAACTAACAAACTTAATTTATGAATATCTGCCCTTTACAGATATACCATTTGGTAGGGCGCATCTCCAAATGCTGTGCAGGTGGTACTCCTAATGATTGACTTTGACCTAACACCCACTACCCAAGACTTTGGTTGACAGTACCTGAGTCAGCTGAATAGGAACTAGGTTTGAGGTGGCTATGAAAATTCACATCATAATATTTCCATATTTCATCTTGATAGACTGCTCAAATCTCACCGAAATCACCAACATCTATTCCAACTGCACCAGCTCTTTCTTCTATAATTGTTCCCAAGAATCCAACTATTTCATTAGTACCAGAACAGGTAACATCTCTGTTTATTCATGTGTTTTTCTATGTTCTTTGTTTAAAATATTTTATTTATTATTTTTATTTTATGTGTATGAGTGTATTGCCTGCATGAGTGTAAGTGCACCCGTGTTGTGCAGTGCCCACAGACGTCAGAAGAGGGCATCAGATCCCCTGTAACTGGACTTAGGTCTGTTGTTAGCCCCCATGTGGGTGCTGGGAATTGAACCCAGGTCCTCTGTAAGAGCAGTCAGTGCTCTTAAACACTGAGCCAACTCTCCAGTCCCAGTCTTTTTCTAGGTTCTAAGTATTGTATTTACATTTTTTTTCTTAATAACATTATAAAGTGTAGATGCATTGTAACCCTCAATTAACATCTTTATTTCGTGTTTTCAAAATAGGGTGTCATTATCTAGCTCCATTTGGCCTGGAACTCACCATATATCCCAGACTGGCCTAGAACTTGTAGTGATTCTCTTGCCTCTGCCTCCCAAATGTTTGGTTGCAGGCATAGGCCACCACGCCTTACTTTTACAGTGGGGAAGACCACCACGTTGGGGTGCCCGGTCTCTTAACATGAGTCATTTCTAAACAGAATTGGTCCATTGGATTCTGTCTGATTTCAAAACTGACACATTTAAGAATGGTGCTTGAGGGACTGTGAAATGGCTTAGCAAGTAAAAGTGCCTGTTGCCACATCTGATGATCTGATTTCCATCCCCAGAGGGAGAGAAAGAACTCCTGAAAATTGTCCTCTGACAGAGGGAGGGAGGGAGACAGGGAGGGAGGGAGGGAGGGAGAGAGAGAAACAGAGAGAGAGAGAGACAGAGAGAGAGACAGAGAGACAAGAGGAGAAACCCTGTACCTCATTCTTTCATAGTCTGTCTTAGCTGCAGACTAGCTCTTGTGTCCACCACCTGATTCCTGTTGCTATTGGTAGAACTGTTCATTTAGCATTTCAGAAAGCTCAGCAAACAGTTGTCTTATTATATTAATTGTACCAACTGAATTCTATTTTCTTCTTAGTCTCTGTTTACCAGAGATTTAGATAAGTATTAATTATACGATGCTTATTTGTATTCTTCTACAAGAACTATTGTTGAAGACCTTGTATTAATATTAGTGTTTCTTACATAAAAAGTCATGTGGTTAATTCCTCTTAGAACTTAAATTATGGGGAAATGTTTCTCTTTTTCTTTCTATAGAACCATGAGTCTCTAAGACGCCCCCCTCTTCTTTACATTTTTTCTTTTCTGATTGATTACCAGAAACTCGAGATAATATTTAATGTCTGCCATTTTGTCCAGTTTCTAGCAACTTCTGTTGATAGGTATCACCTCTTCCCTTATCCATATTGCTTCAGATCTTCGTAGTTCTTCATTTTTTGCTTTCTTAAGACATAGTTTTGGATTTCTTGTAAGAAATAGTATATTTATTTAGAAGAAAACTGGTTATAACTTGTAAAATAATTATACGCATATTTACATAAACCTAAATATGTTTGAAAACATTACATTTTGCAAAGACATTTTATCTTTTAGCATATGTTCTGTGAGCAGGAGCCAGGGTAGCCACTGTCTGTGTCTCACATTTAATGGCTGGAGACTGCATTGCTCTCCACAGATCGGAAAACTGCACAGTGAATTGGATATGGTGAAAATGAATATGAAAGTGATGGCTGCCATCTTGATGGAGAACATTCCTGGGTCTGAGAACCATGAAGACATAGAGCTCCTGCAGGTGTGTAGTTTAATCTCATAAACAATCAGGCAAAGTCCTGCAAAGCTATTTTCTGAAGAAGTTTGAACTTTGCAGATGGAAGGCCATATTCATATGATCTAATGGTTCATCCCCTTACATCCTGACTTCATTTGATTTCTGAACTTAACAAAAAGATCGAATCATGAATTTTCAGAAGTGGAAGAGTAACTGCATAGACATAATCAATCCCAACCATCTTAAGAAAAATAATTTACCATAATTTATAGCCTCAATCATTATATAATCCAGTCTCTCATTTGAAGTTTGTAAAGTTGTCTCTTTGTCTATCTGTTCAGCAAACACTGAGTAACTGTGACAGAATAAGGGATAGAGAAATGAAGGAGCTGTCCTAGGCCTTAACAGCTCTGTCTAACGAGCAAGATTGGTTTATAAGCACTGTAGTAAAGTGTTATAAGTGCTCTGATGAAAATCTGTTACTATGTGGCGTGATTGTGAGTGGGGAGGACAAGGAGGATTTTAACGAAAACGCAGGTAGAGTACTTGGGCTGTGGAGGAACATGAGCACGTGAGGCACTCTCTGAGCAGCTATGTGGTCATCGCACACTTTCTCCTTTGCCTGGACCTACCAGTGTGTTATGTTCCCTCTTCTGCTTATTCTGATTATCAATTTTAAATGTATTAATCATGCTGAAGAACAGTGGTGTGTGCCAGTAGTACCAGCACCTGAGAGGGAGCTCAGGAGCAGCCAGAACAACGTAGCAAAACTCCATCTCAAAACAAAGCAGAAATTATTACCCCACTTCATTGTTATTTTTAGAGCCCGTTTGAAAGCCAGTTCCTAGGTGTTCCCAGGAACGTGAAGACCCTCCTTGTGGTTTCGCTTTTCTCAAAGTCCCACTCCTCCTTTCCTGCAGGGTTTCATAGCCCAGATGCACCCGCCTCCTACTAGTGTACGTTGAGTGTTTGCATGTCCAGAAACAGTCTTTGTTGTCATGTCAAGTGCTAGTTAATTTGGCTGGGAGGATTCTAGGTGTAGAACTCTTTTCCTTATGTCCTTTAAAGATGATGTTCCATCTCTCTCTTGGGTTCTTGACGCTCCTGAGAAGTGTCATGACCTTCTGATTCTTGCTCCTTTGTTTTATGATTGATTCCCTTTTTTTTTCCTGCTTATATTCTGTGGTTTCTCTTTACCTTAATATTTTCTAAATTTCACAGTATCATGTTTTGAGATATGTGTGTGTGTATTTACATAAATGTATAATTCCCTTGTGGTCCTACTTGGTAGTTCCTAGGCCCCTTTTCCTTATCAGCCTGGTCTGCATTGTAAAAACTATTGATTATTTTTATTTTATGTGTATGAGTATATTGCCTGCATGTGGACTTACCTCTGTGCACCTGTGTTGTGCAGTGCCCACGGAGGTCAGAAGAGGGTATCGGATCCCCTGGAGCTGGAGTTAACGGATGGTTGTTAGCTACCATGTGGGTGCCAGGAATTGAACCCGGGTCCTCTGCAAGAGCAGCCAGTGCTCTTAACTGCGGAGTCATCTCTCCAGTCCTCATGTGTATTTTTTTTTCCTAGAAATAAATATACTTTATTTTTATTTATTTTTTCATTTTTTTATATGTGTGAGTGTATTGCCTGCATGTGTGTAATTGCACCCGTGTCATGCAATGCTAGTGGAGGTCAGAGAAGGGCATTAGATTCCTCCAGGACTGGAGTTATCAACAGTTGTTAGCAGTCATGTGGGTGCTGGGACCTGAACCTGGGTCCTCTGCAAGAGCAGTCAGTGCTGTTAACCACTAAGCCATCTCTCCAGCCCCAAACCTGGAGGTGATGTTGAGCATACAGGAGGATATGTGCAGGTTACATGCAAAACAGTATAGCATTTTGGACTAGCAGGTAAAGATGCTTGATGCCAAACTAACAACCTGAATTTATACCCTGGGACCACCATATGATAGAAGGAGAATACCAACTCCTGCAAGTTGTCCTCTGCTCTCCACACATGTGCCATGGCACATAATTCTCTCAAGTAAAAAAAAATTTTAATTGATTTTTTTTATTTATTTTTTTTAACTTTTACAAAAAACATTATTGAAAATTTCATACATGCATATAAGATGTTTTGATCAAATCCATGCCCACTCCCTCCCCTCCAACATTCCTCCCTCTGAAGAGGTAACCCTGAAATATTTTAACGATTAGATACAAGCTCCCAAATACTTTTGACATTTTGACATTTTTTGCCTTTAGAACAGAGTGTGTGTCTGACAGGCCCAAGGACATTTTGACTTTAGCCCAGAAACTGGTTACATTTCTTTGGGGTCTTTTTACCCTAACGGCCTAGTCAATTCCTACCTCCTATTCTTATCACGCCATCCTCTGAAGGGGTTACCCCAATTGCCAATAGGGAATAGGGACACAAACAGCTCTGGCTTCTTCCATGCTGAACAGGGACGCAGGGTGAGGCAATTGGAGTACCCCTTTGGTGGGTCTATCTAAAAGACTCCCATGGAATGCATAACTCTTGTCTCCAAGGGGTAAAGAAAGTCCTTGAATCATGAATAGGAGATGTGAAGGAGAAGTAAAGGCAAAAGTACTTAGCATTACAAGTTCTAGACAGGGAACTAGAAAAAAAGTCAGAACAGGGCAATTTTCAAATGTTCATATGAGAGTCCATTGGAGTTTCTTGACAAGGGCTTCCAAAAGCATCCCTCTATTGGGTTCTTCCTCATTTTTCTTTTGTCTTCCAAGGCTAGTCTAGTTGGCTGGGAAGAGTGGCTGGATAGTCAGGTGAGGGTCCAGTGACCCTTCGTGGCACTCCTTTAATGAATGAGCACAACTGTCAACAAGCCCAATTGTAATTATGTTTAGTAGTCAGGCTCAGCCGAAGTCATGATGATGGTAGTTATTTCATGAATAGGGACTGCTGCATAGCATCATCTTATTAAAAAGACCTGGAATTTAAAAGGATTTGGTGCTAGGAGCCACATATGAGGGAGAACATGTGTCGTTTGTTTTTCTGAGTCTGTGTACCTTATGCGTATTTTAATTCCAGGAAATATTTAGCCCTTATTTCAGGTGTGTGATGTCATGTCTGGCTGAAATCATTAGCTCTGATTATTGGCTGTAAGCATATTCTATTTAGAATATTTTACTCAGGAGCATTGTATCATTTTGCTGAGCATTCTTGAGATTCTTTACTGTCATTGAGCTTTTTGTATATGTGTAAAATGAAGAGCCCATGTGAGTCTTAGTAAACAAAAGTACTAATGCCATCTACTAACAGAGGAGAGTAAAAGGAAAAGTTAGAGTTTATCCAGGTAATCCCTTTTATAGATACATACTTGTAACTTGTGATGCTAATAAGTATGTTAAATTTAAAACCAGTATCAGAGTAACAGGGCATGTAGCAGATAGCATTTTTTTAAGCAAGGCTGTGGCATTATTTCTAGTTTTACATTGTCTTCACAGGTCTGTCCAGAGCCCTGACATGAAATGACTTAGGACTTTCCCCTCATGTTTCCATCTATCTGTGGCAAACAGTCCTTAAATAAAAATGTGTACTGACCCATCCCATTTAAATATGTGCACCCTGTTCTATATTTATTCCATTAAGATGAAATAAGTGTCTTTGTCTCAGTGTTTGGGTGCAGATGTTTGACTCCTTGTTTTCAAGTGTGATATTAACTTGTTGGTTGATGTTCTGAAGGCATAGCTCAGAGCTGTGTATTGCTTTGAATAGTAAAGAGACAGAGGTGATAAGTCAACATTACAATACTGCTCACAGTTCAAGTTGGATGGGTTCCCACACTGATCAGCTTATTTATCGAGACTATCTAATGCTTAAGTATTTTTCTTTCTATGCTTTTTGTTAGTCATGCATAAAGACCTGGTGCGGGGACTGCTGTTCTTAATTTCTTTTGCCAAATATTTGTGTTTCTTTAAATAATTACTATGGTTAATCTAAAATAATATGATGAAATCTTCTATGGCGAGAAATGACTAGGAGCCTATGATTTAAAGATTTAGAAGTTGAGACCAGAAAAGACAGACTTTGATGAAGCAAACTAATTCTTTAGATTCTTTAGTTTGTGCTTTTTCAAAAATTGTCTTACCCATGTCTGAACTGTTGGAAGCAGCTAAATGCTGACTGGCCACCTTCCCAGGACCGCAGAGGCTTCTGGGGGCTCTTGGCAAGAGCCTATGTAGAAGAAAGAAGCCGAAGAAAGAAATTAGTCCAGAGGGCAGCCTTGCTAGCATCGGTACTGTTGAAGGACAGAGTGAATATCCAGAACATATTCTCCTCCCTTCCTCACATACTCTGCCGTTATGTATTGTTACATGAACCCTGTCAGAAACCAGAGGGCATTGAAGTCTTACCGTGCAGCCATCAGGACAGAGGAGGACAGCAAGTCTGGGCATTGGATCCGGAAGGCAAAGAAAGGTGACCAGCAAACAGGAAAAACCTCCATTCAAAAGTTGTTGGTCCTTTTCTGCAGATACACTTAACCAGTGACTGTTTGCTAGCAGTAAATCCAGCATGCAGGGGCCAGGCTTAGAGACTCTAACCTTTAATCCCAGCACTTGGGGGGCAGAGGCAGGCTGATCTCCATGAGACTGAAGCCAGCTGGTCTACATAGGCATTTCAGGCTAGCTGGAGCTACAGGGAGACCCTGTCTTAAAAAAAGACAACGAAATAAAAGCAAGCAAGCAAACGAAAGCCAGCGTGCGTACCTGGAACCTCTTCTTGTTGTATATGTTTTTACTCACATTCTACTAGTTTTATTTATTTGGAACCTGTTCTCTGTGTCCTTCTATTGGAAACCTAATATATTTACTTGTAACCCTCTCCCTGTTTCTCCAGTCCATGTTAAACCATTAGATCCTGAAGCCCTACAGACTCACACGGCTCTGAACTCTGTCAGGCTCTTACGTAGCTGGAAGCCTTTGCTTTCCTTACCACTGTGTTATGGACTTAGAACTCTACTGGATAGAGTGGATTTCTTTAGCCAGAATGGCATGTGAGGCTTGGGAGGCTGCAGCCTGTCAACGGTGTCTGCTCTGGCCACAGGAATGAAGACTTGGCTGTATTTGCTTTCTTGGCATTGTATATTGGCTTTAGGTGTTGCCTCCTGAATATCTGCTTTCTCTGGCTCTTCCCTTTTTGCTTTTCCTTTTTCTCATTTGACCTTTTTTGTCTTTGTTTTTTGCTTCCTTTTGTTTTTTGTTTTTTTTTTTTAAGATACGGCCTTGGCTACGTGGTCCAGGCTAGCCTTGCACTCATAGTCCTCCTGCCTCAGCCTCGAGCTGGGGTCACAGAATGCACCACCATACCCAGCGGCTTTCTTTTCTTGTGTTTTGCTGTCGCAGTAGGACGGGGGAGAACAGTGTAGTCTTTTGAAGAAGAGAGCTCAGACTGAAAATACAACTAGCGAAAGCCTCACTTTAGCTTACTAGAGAAATATAAAATCATGGAGATCTAAAATTTAATCATGTGAAGATAATTTGTAAAGCAGTTGAGGGAAAAACCAGGCAAGGGAAAAGAGGGAAAAGTGATTCTCCCTGAACCATTCTCCTTGTCTTTACCCCTCAGGAACTAGTAAGAGCCTGAGAGTAGAGAAGACTCTCAGTGTCATAGAGAGCCATCGCCTTTCCTTTGCAGAGGAGGCTGCATGTTCAGAAAGGGGAGTGTGTGCCTAGGATAGCAAATGAAGGGGCTGTAGTGCTCGCTTTCCTAAACCTGTGTCTGTTGATGGTACTAACTGGTTTCTCATTTAGAACCCAGGACTGGCTGTAGATGACTAATCTGGTGTCTTTTCCTGTGGGTATGAACCAGTTCTTGAGCTAATTTGGAAGGAATTGAAGATAGTAACTAAGGCTTGTGCTTTTAAATTCATCACAGCGTTACTGAGGAACACAGGGTTCCTTTTGTAGATTCTTAGTCTTAGAGATAAAAGAATTTGAAAACAAACTCAGAAGTTTGAGAGGAAAAAAGATAAAGATAAAACAGGACAAGCAAGCTAGAGATGTTGGCAGCTGCTGGAAGGAGGGAGACAAAGAAGAAGAAAGTCATGCTTTCTGAGTTAGAGGTTTACAGCAGGCAGGTTCAGCCATGGAATTCTGAGTAGCTGCATAGGAGGTGAGGTGGGGAGGGGTTTTCGGAGAGAGTGAGAATGGCCAGAGTAATCAGGGGAAGCAGGCTTGGGATCTGACAGGTGGGTGGGGCAGCTTTTAGCTATGAGGATCTGTAGGTAACTGCAAGGAGAGAGAGTGTTCTGGGGTATATGAGTATACATCTCAGTATCTCATTAAGGTGATATCTATTCCTCGGGCTTGACATGTATTCAGGTGTATCATGTTTCATATTCTGTTTCAGATTGTTCTCTAAGATTGTAAAACTGGATTTTCTCCTTATTCAGGTGGTTTTTGGCTTTACCTGCTAGAGGAAGTTCCTGCTATTTTTATCAAAGGGTCTTATCAACTACTAAATCCTTTGTGAAAGGGGTTACTGATGATTAACTACAAGTATTTCTTAAGGAGGAGTAATTGTGATACACTCCCCTTCCTTAAAATTAGTGTTAAAAGGAGCACAGGACCTGGGGTTCTGAGCTGACTGGGGGAGCTGTCCATCCTTCATGACCTTCAAGGCAGCTAGTGATTGACTAGCAGGCTAACAACAATTCTTCATGCAATTACACTTATTACAGTACACACTATGTATCAGATGAGTTTCCTACATCTCTATTGAGTTGATACATCAGTGTTCTGTTGAAGAACTGATGACTGGGACAAAAGAAGTTTGAACAGAAGAACTTACTGGAGAGAAAGGTATTCAAGAAAGATGCTGAGGCTAGGTAGTGGGAAAAAGCTAAATTTTAATAAGTTATTGGGCATAGTGATGCACACCTATAATCCCAGCACTCAGGAGGCAGAGGCAGGTGGATCTCTGTAAGAGTGAGGTCAGCCTGGTCTACATTTGGGGCTACCGGGAGACTGTCTCAAAAAATTTTTTTTAATAAGTTAATGATTTTCTGAGGATTATGTTGACATTTTTTTTCAGTTTTACAGTGAGGGAGTTTCTCCTTTGAGCAGACTGAGACATTCACTATGTCTCTTGAGGGCTGGGCAGGGAGTTCTTTGAGAGACGAAATGTGTTGTGGGCTGATAATAGGGATATTGCTGACAGATATCATTTCCAGAGATACTTTCATGCAAATACATTGTATGGAAGGGTGCAGTGAAGGCCACTGACCAAGACAACTCCATGGGGAGATGGCAGTTTATTTGAGAGCAGACAGACCACTGGGCTGCCTCAGGGAGCAGAGAAAACAGCAACCAGGAGGGGAGCTCAGACATCTTTTATAGGCAGCTAGGTGCTTGGGTAACTTTCTATGATGTAGGCCAGGCAGTTTAGCTCAGGATTGGTTGGTTTCCTGATAAGCAGAGGGACTTTACCCAGGCTAAGGTCAGACCTGCCATGTTAGGAGTCTGCCAGGAACCCAACACACATTATTTACTGTTTTTACTTTTCAAAGGAGTTGTTTAGCCCTCCCCGTCTTTCTTTCTTTCGTATATTCATCTGTGTTGGTGAATGTAGGGTCGCTGTAGTTGGTGCTGAAAGTGCAAAGGGATCTCCTTCCTTGATTTCTATATTCTTTGTGGAGGCCTAAGAGCTAACTGGATGTGGGAGAAGGAAGCATTTAGTGAGCTTCTTTTTGTTTGGCTCCAGAGACTTTTGAATTGTTAAATTTACTCCTAGAAGCCTGCCTGCCTTGCCTTTATAATAGAGGCAGTTCTCAGGGTTCTGTGATGGACACGTGCACTGGCCACTGTTTTGACTCTCCACATTCATAGCTCCACAAGGGCCCTCTCGGAGAACTCTGGCTCATGCTTTTTGTCGGAGGTGCTTGATCTGTGCTGTTTGCAGGTGGTGTGGCCCTCCTCTGAGACAGACATCAATTGCAAAGATCAGAGTGGGATGGCTTTTGAAGATTTTTTTTCAGATTCTGCTTTGCAGGCCTGCTGAGAGATGTGTGCTCCTTTCATGTTTCCTTTCCATCTGTCACTCCAAAGGGCAAAGGGAGGGTGTTCATATGACCAGGTTATGAATGTTGGCTGCAAATTCATTTTAAAATTAATTTCTACATTTTTTTCTTGGGCATCTAACACCCATTGTATTCCTTGATCTTGACCTTGTTTTAGCAAGGCTTCCTGTGAGCAATAAGAATAATAATTTCTGTTCCATCTAAAATGAAAACCAAAGAAAAGTTCTCATTCATGGCCGGATGGGGGGTAGATTAGATGCTTTTGGTTCTTTATGTGATATTGGGTCCTGGGCAATAGAGCAAGTGTTATAGAACTATGTTATATAGCCTCTAATGACTGCCTCAGGCAATTATAGTGCATTTATTAACACCTCTCTGTATACTAGTGGGGCTTCAATACACCATTTCCTATGACTTTTGGAGCAGTCTTTGGTCTACTAAGTCAAAAGTCTTATCTCTGCCTCTAGCCTACCACCTGCCTTTGCTTTATTAGAATTTAGCCCCACCCACTTGTTTACTTATTTCCCTGGGTTCTTTTCATGGTAAAATGCAAAGTTGGATAGTTGCCACAGAATAGTGACCCGCAAAGCTGAACATATTTAATATCTGGAGCTTTAAGGAAAACTCTGACCCCTATACTGTACCATTGCTGACAGTGACCATATCATTAGCAAATAAGACAGTTTATCTGGCTCCACACTGTGGGTATAAAACCTCATCTGTTATCTGTCACCCTTCTCTCCAATCTTTCATTTTTCCTTTTTATTTCATTTTGTCTTCTAAATATTTTTATAAATATTTAATGTTTTTGTGGAGGTGGTGGCTTTTACATCTGAGTCTAAATGCCAGTTAGTAATAGTTTGATTTATTTATTTAGAGATTTCCTGTCAAGAGTCTTGTAATAGAGTGTTTGAGATTCTAAATGGTTTCATGAAGCATAAATTTTCAGCAAGACTTTCTTAGGAATTCAGATTGTGTAATATGTAAGCAACTCTCCTGCTTTCACTGCGAAAAGAGAAATGTTCCCGTGTTTTTTGTCTGCTGATAGTGTGCTACTGTACAGTTAAATGTAGCCAAGGCGGATGGAGAATAGATTCATGTTAGTGTGTGCACCTAAGATTTATTGAAGATTTGCTTGAAGGAAGTCCATTGCAAGGCTGCAGATTTCAAAGGTTATGATACATAAGAAACACTTTGAGGTGCTTGTTAAGAACAATGTAGATTCCTAGACTCAGCCTTGGAGATTCTGAATCAGTTATTGATGCCTCTGATGCTTATGAGATGAAGTTAGCTACAGGGTAATGTCTTGGCTCAAGGCAATGATTTTAAGTAGTTAAAATAAGGTCATTATCCATGATGAGTTTTAAAATTGTGTTTTAGTTTTTGTATCAAATGTGATGGAGCTATAAACTTAAATGTTTAAGTACAGTATAACAGGAAACAAAATTATGTCCCTGTGTTGTAAATGGTTTTTAACTACTTCTGCCATCACTAATAATGACAATAACATTTCATGTTTATGCTTTATTGTTCCACAGCCTCTGATTTCACACATCTCATTTAATTTTTACGTCAACCCTTGAGGTAGATGTGGCAAGTTGTTATTTTTCATTTCTTAACGAGAAAACCAAAATTTAGGAAACAAGTTAGTTTTTTCCCTCAACATGGCTCAGCTAATAAGAAGTGAATCTAGGATGCCCAAACAGCAAGTCTGCTTTCTAGTTCATCATTACTGCAGTGTACCACATTGTTCTTATGAGAAATATCATCTCCTGACACTGTCCTCTAATGTCAAGATGAGCTCTCCACAGACCTTGATATAAACCTTATAACATGGAAGAAGAAACCTCTTCTTTCTCTGACAGAAACTTTACAAGACAGGTCGGGAGATGCAGGAGAGGATCATGGACCTTCTGGTGGTAGTAGAGAATGAAGATGTAACTGTTGAACTAATTCAAGTGAATGAGGAGCTGAACAATGCCATCCTTGGATATGAGAGGTAAGCAGATGGTATGCCCCTTAACCCTTTCCAGATTCTAGCCTTGCCACCGGGCACTCAGCATTCCTTAGTGCCTACAAGAGAATGCTCTTTCTAGATCATTTTCTCTCAGTAGGAGTGGCATTGTGGCTAGGACAGTTCTCTCTCGTGTGGCCACTACTCACCAAACGTCAGAGATGTTCCTCCTAGTTGAGGTGACTCAGTAGACAACTGTTCTTGTTGAGAATTACTAGGGATGCTTCATTGTACAGTGGCTAGTGAACACTGTACATTCTTAGTGAACAGATGAAGAATGAGGCCATTCTGACATAAGAGAAAGAGGTGAGCAGGCCTGGATTCAAACTAGATGATTTGCATGGATTTGCATAGAAGTTGCATAACATTCTGAAGATCTAGATTTTTATTTTTTGCTATCTTTGGAGGGGTTAACTTTTTTAAAAAAATATTTTTATTGGTTCTTTGAGAATTATGTACAATGTATTTTGATCACATTCAGATCCCCTCATCCCTGGAAGAAAGTTATTCAAAGTATTTTCCTGATACTAAGTAAGGATAAGGCTCAGTAGTTGTTATTAAACATTTGTGTATGCCGTGCGTGGTGGCGCACGCCTTTAATCCCAGCGCTCGGGAGGCAGAGGCAGGCAGATCTCTGTAAGTTCAAGGCCAGCCTGGTCTACATAGTGAGTTCCAGGACAGCTGGGGCTACAGGCAGACCCTGCCTCAAAAAAACCAAAAAAAAAAAAAAAAAAAAGTTGTATATTTAATAATAATAAATTTTATAGCATTTTTATACCCATTTGATAAATTTTGTTGCATTTTGCTAATTCAAACAGGTTTACTCGAAACCAACAAAGGTTTTTGGAGCAAAATAGAAACCAGACGGAATCCACGAATGTAAGTGATTAGAAATGTCACAAAAATAATTGACTATTTTACTAATTGTGCAGTAAGAAGCAAAGCCGTCCTAAAACATCTCATTAAAGAGGAAACACACATTAACAATTTGAAGTGGTTTGCGTGCAGTAGTTATCATCTCAAGTCATAAGAAGAGTTTCTAATTACACAGAAACCCACATACTTGGTGAGAGGCATCACACTATGGCTGCCTCTTGGGTGAAATTTTCCTCAAAATATACCCAAATATGATCTGCTTTTCTCCAACAGAAAGATTATGGAGAAAGTCATGATAAATTGTGACATTCATTTTTTTCAAGTTGTATTTTTGTTTTGTTTTGTTTTTAGACTGCCACTGAGCCTTCTGCTCCTTCTTCTGATCTCCTAGACCTAAGTCCCAGCCTGCTGGTGCCTGTGTCCAATCAGAGAGAACTCGGCAATGCGAATGCTCAGCTTTCAGACTTAAGTAAATAAGCAGTTAGGCCTTCTCACACCAACAGAAGAGCTCCATGTGGAACAGTTCTCCTTGGTTTCATGTTGAATGCCTCCTGAGGATGGAAGTCAGTTTGAGTAGCAGAACTATGTCAGGAGATGTAATTCCTTCCTGGAAAATGGTTGGATCAAATCCAGCAAAGGAATGGAAGGTGTTTAGGGAGGTCTTGGAAACTTCCCATTGACTTAGAATCCCATGGAATTTACCTGGTTGCTTTGTAGAGGTTGTGTTGCTAGTGAGCAAACACTTAAATCTCTTCCACCACAGATTGTTATTGATGGGTGTCTCTGCTATACACAGTATCAGGTAAGGGAGTGGGGCAGACAGTAGAATTCAGGACTTAGGATCCACATGGCAGTGAGACGTAGGAAAAGGGGAGGAAATGAGGCCTGCCCTGCAAGTTGAAATTGCAGTTCTGCTACCTCTTAACTAAGTGACCTTTGAGATTCTTCTTATTTTATAAAATGAAAGAATGGCTTCCTTAAACAGTGTTGTGAGGGCAGATGAGAGGGGATTTATGAAGTCCATTGTAGGCTGCCTGTTTATCTGCCTCTCTTGCTATCTTCCATCCTTACTTCCAACAAGTTTTGGCAAGCTACAAAATAAGAAAGATGAAAAGAATAGAGTTCAGCCAAGCAACAATTTGTTTTTCTCTTACATTCTGGTGTTTCCAGAGCAAAAATATTCAGTATCATTGAATTTGTGGTTTTCTTATGGCTTTCTTTATTTCTGAAATAGTGGCTGCTTGTTTATGTAAGCTAGAGAGATTTGTGGAACCACTTGCATTGGAAAGTTTTCCTGGTTTTTTATTATGGATTTTTGAGGAGGGAAGGTAATTATCCCCTTTGCGTATCTTAATAAGAGAATTTAGGAGTTTAGTGGCAAAGACTGAGGTCTGTATAAATTGTAACTGTTTAGTTTTGTGCTAGGCAGAAGATAAGTAAATTCTTCCCATTTTGCATCAGCTTGAGAATTTGGAAAATCCAATACATAATATTTTCCCACTTATGACAAACTCTCTATATAGCAGGGAATGTTTCTGCCTTTTTCTCTCCTCTATAAATGTTTTGTAAATCCTTGCAGAGGAAACTCTATGATTTTGTGGTGACAGAAATATAAATTAATCTTTTTTAACTGTGGAAAACTAAACATAACTACTTGGAAAAAAATTTAATCAAACAAATCCATTTTTGTTTTAGGTTTCAGCTCTTCAAATCATGTTACAACAAGCAGCTTGACTCCCAGTCCTCATCCATTGGTGGACTTGCTAGCATCAGCAAATACAAATACAGAAATACCCCCGTAAGTACATCACTAACACTGCAGAGCTCTTGCCATGACGTTGTGGTTCCTTATGTATAAGAAAACAGCAGTACAGTAGAAGGCAGAGACTTTATAGACAGACCTGTGTTGGAATCTCAGCCTTGCTTCCTACTAGCTGTATGGCCTAGCATGAAATTCTAAGTCACTGTGAACTGTCATTTGCTTTTAAGAATATTTCCTACCAATTTCTTGAAAAATTCATGAAAATTTATAAGTAAAATTCCTAATTTAGCACTGGCTACATTAGAAACAAGCCTTTGGTATGGCTCTGTTTCTCTCTCTCTCTCTCTCTCTCTCTCTCTCTCTCTCTCTCTCAGTGATATAGGAGTGGGGTAAATTTAGTGACAAAAGAGGAGAAAGAAATGAAGTTCAAAACTGTTGAGAGTAGGGGCTAGAGAGATGGCTTAGTGGTTAAGAGTACTGGTTGTTCTTGCAGAGGAGCTGGGTTTGGTTCCCAGCACCCACATGTCAGCTAACAACCATCCAAAACTCCAGTTCCTGGGGATCTGACGCCCTATTCTGACCTCCACAGGCATTGAATGACAGGGTGAACTTACCTACATAGAAGCAATATACTCATACACATATAATAAAAATAATAAAATTTTTAATTGTTGAGCACAATAGACACACCAATGCCTGCAGATAGCAAGTGCTCTTTACTTTTGTTTTTTTCATATAATTTTTGCAAAAGTTTTTGGTTAGTTTCAAAATCATTGTTCATTTTGTATATGAGATGGAGAGTGGCCTGGTCTACAGTACCAGATGTGTGTTCCACCTCTGGGAGTGGGCATTATATCCAATCAAAACGTTGTTGGTTGTACATAACACTAGACATGCCACTGTTGCACCAACAGGAACATCTTGTTTGGCATGTTGATTGTGCAACATGTGGAGACTGAGATTTAGGAATAGAAATTACCAAAATCCTTAAAGTAATTAGCAAGATCACTTCAAAAGAAATCTTAGCGATTCATAAACATAATAGAATTGATACTCAGCTTTAGTATAGAGAAAAGCAAGAAAAACCAAGTTGATATGCATAGAACTCACTGTGTAGCCCAGGCTGACCTTAAATGTATAGCGATCCTCCTACCTCAGCTACCTGAGAGTATAGTCATGAGCCACCATGTTTGGCTTAAATATTTTGTTTGGCCAAAGTCCAAATGCTTGATGAGAATTTGTGAGCTGTGGAAAAACAGATACTGACACAAAATTATGCAACCTTATGAGAGATAAATGATAATATCTAGTAAAATCCCCATTACATTTACCTTTGAATTTGTGATCTTAAGTCTATGAATTTATACTGCATTCATATACAATTAGGTATTTATAAGACTATTCTTCACAGTGTTGGATAATAATAGATAATAAATGGAAATAAGTCAAGTATCCACTAGTTGGAGAATAGTTAAATAAACAGCGATATACTACATTAATGTATAGCACAGGGGGAAAAGTAAGGTATGAGGGACCGTCACCAGCGTATTTACTGTCATGTGGGGAGAAAGGACGCAAGGTAATGAGAGTAAACTGTTGTATTTGTGTAAGAAAGTGGGAAAGAGAACATTTGTTAATATTTGTGCCTTTTTACATAAAGAAATACAGCACGATAGCAAAAGAAACCGTAAAGAATGTTGATTTAATTTTAGGGACAGACAGGAGAGGGTAAATAAACTAAAAATTTTTTATAAAGAAACAGAAGTTGGACAAAGTCAATGTCATTTTTTCCTTTTATGTGTATTTTAGGTAATAGGCACCATATTTCCATGAGGCAGATAGCAAGGCAATACAAAAAGATACATAATCCTTGATCTCATGCCACTTCCTTCTCTGTTCCCTCCCAGTACACTCTGTGTCTTCACTTAATCACTTGATTAGGTCTTTGTCTTTTCAAAGTATCTTTGGGTAACCTGGAATATCAATTTATTTTCCCTTATGAAATAAGTTGCAGCATACTATTTCACTGTCCTGACCTTCGCTTTTTTCTGTCTTTTAGCAACATGTCTTGACAGTGTTTCTATAACAAATACTTTATTTTTTAAGCACCTACTGTTTTATTGAATATTTGTATGCCCAATTACTGTATTTAAAAGGGAGAAGACAATAGAGAAACTGGAAATTAAATTAAGAGGAGACATATGTAGGGAAATGACGGTGTGTTGATCGTTGTCTCCTGGGTCATCAAAATGGTTCCATACCCTAGGAGGGCTACCTTTGGTCTTGACTACATACAGGCAAGCACATGCTGAGATGCCATAGGTAGATTTATAGTTAAACTGTTAAGTAACTGTTTTCCTGTCATCCTGCTGATCTTGTTGGATAGACAATGACTAATACAGAAAGAATTACATAGCAGCAAATGTCTCCATAAAACTCATTAAAGAAACCAAATGTTAGCTAGTGGTGCTTATTTTAATGTGTAATACAGTAGAACTCATACTTCAGTATGCATAAAAATCACTTCAGTGACAAGTGAAATGTCAAATCACTAGCCCTTAAAGTCTAAGTCAGTGGTACAAATCTTTAGTTTTAATGAGTACCTGGGAATTAGAACTACAGTGGCTTTTCAAAATTGCGTCGAATAGTAGTTTTAGTATAAATAATATGTTCTCTGCTGCCCTAAGTTTTTGCTTTGTTTCTTTTTTCTCTTTTGATTTTGGGCAGTTTCTGGTATCTGGTCATGATTTCTTTCAGTGTATTTGTGGTGGGTTTGGCTAAGTACATTAGTTTCCTATGACTGCCATCAACCACAAACTAGGTGGTTTAAAACCACAGGTATTTGTTCCCTTTCAGTTCTGGAGGCAAGGAGTCTGAAATTCAGTCTCTCTGGCATTCTCCAGGGAGAATCTGTCTCTTCCATCCTGATGACGTGGTGGTCCTTGGCTTCACTGGCTTGCTGGCTACCACAGTTTCTGCCTCCATCTTCTGATTCTCTCCTGGCAGGCATCTAAACATTCCTTAAAGTCACTTTTCATTGAATTTGAAGCCCCAGCAGATAATCAGGCTGATATCTGCATCTGAAGATCCTTAACTACATGCACAGAGACCCCTGTTCTAATAAGATAACACAGGGTCTAGGCATTATGACTCTGACTTATCTTTCTGGGAGAGGATGGATAGTGTTTAATTCAGTACATAGAGCTTCTTGAATCTGTCTTTCGCCAAACTACTTAGGTTGTCAGCCTTTATTTATTCTACAGAATTTTAGGACTTCTTACATTCTCCTTGGACTTGACACAGTTGTTAATCTGCATCATCTCTAAGAGTTTTAGATTCATTAATTCCCTTAATTTACTATTTTTCAGTCTTATGCAGACTGTATAGTGCCCAAGACCTATGTTCAAGTTTACTAAGTCTTCTGTCATCTCCATTTTGCAAGTAAGCTGATTCTGTAAGTTTGTTCCTAATCTGTGATTTTTTTCAAGATTAAACCATAATTTATTTGTAATTCCTTAGAGCATAAGGATTTTTCTAATACTTCCTACTTGTTACAGTGGCACTCTTGAGCTCACCATTTAAAATTTATTCTTAGGAAAAAAACTGAGCTTGTTTCCCTTCATTACTTTGTCTTTTTTATTGAATTTTTGCGATTTTATACAATATAATTTGATAGTATTTAGATCCCCTCCACTATCCCCATCTTCTCTCATTGCTCCCCCAACCAATTTAAGTATATTAATATAAATATACATATATAAATATATATATATATATATATATGGCCTATAGAGCCCAATTTGTGTCCCCAAATGTACTTCAATGTGAGCTCATCTGCTGGAGCCTAGTTAACCTTCCAAGAGTCCCCATGTTTGAAAGACACTCTGCCCCTCCCAGCAGCCACCTGTTGCCACAATTTCCTTAGGTGGGGTTGGAATTTCCTACCCACTTCCTCATGTCTGTGCTGGGAATTTTCTGGTTTGAGCTTGCATGGGACTTGTACATGCTGTCACCATTGCTGTGAGTTTATATGAGTAACTGACCAGCTGTCTGGAAAACCATTTCCTTGTGATCATCCACCACCTCTGGTCTTTCTGACCCCTCTTCTGCAACGATCCCTGAGACTAGGGTGGGCAGAAGTTTGACATAGGTGTCTTGTTCAGGGATAAGCACTCTGCAACCTCTTGTTCTCTGCACTTTGGCCAGTTGTAAATTTCTGTTTTAATCACTGTCTTTTGCATAAGGAAACTTTTCTGGTGAGAGTTGAATGATGCATTAATCTATGGGTATAACAATAAGTCATTAGGAATCAGTTTAATACAATAACTATTTAGTAGAAAACTATTAGGTTCTTCCCTATATCCTGTGACCTGTTGAGCCTCAGGTTCCTGAACCTGGTATCAGTCAGGTATGGGCTCCATCCTAGGAACTGAATCTTCAATCCAATTAAAAGAGAGGTTGGTCGCTCCCCTAACATTTGTGCCATTGTTGCACTGGTGGGCTTATCTTGCCAGGTTCTGATGATGTGCTATATTTTTCAATTTTAAAATTTCCACATGGTTCTCTGTATTTTCTGTTAGCCGAGACTTTCATTTTTAGAGTATTCCCAAATGCCAGATTGTACAAGAGTTGCTATCAAATCTCTTTGAGGTAATTCCAACACCCATGTCCTCTCGGCATTCATCTCCGTTGGTGTCTTCTTGCTACACGTTAAAATTTTTCTGTATCTTTACATGCCTAGTTATTTTGCATTACATCTTGGGCATTTTTATTAGTAGATGCTTAGTTTGAGTTAAATCTCATTCATAATGTTGATATTTTAATTTTAGTAAGCAAAAAACTTGATTAGATTCATGATGTAATTTCAATCTGGCTCTGTAATGTGTGATTCCAAAGTCAGCCACGTTTTCAAAGCCTTTGCTGTGCTATTCAGATCTGCCTTCCTACCACCTAGTGGTCAATCAGAAGTCTAGATAGCAGGACAAGAGTTCAGTTCTCAATATTTTGACATCCTTTTTGAGATCAGCTCAATGGATGTAACATGTTAGTCCTAGAGTTTCAGAAGCAACTTTATGAGATTGTTTCCCTGAATTCCCCTATCTTTGTGATTTCTCTAGTACTTTTGGTATCCTGGAACTCCCCCTCTCTGCTCTCTAGACATGGTGAAGCTCTAGTTACCTTGTTACCTACTTACATCCTGCATTCCTCTACTGTGCCATGTCTAGAAACAAATGAGAGAACAGAAAGAAACGAGTTCTCCCCAGTCCTTTTAAGATCACCGTTTCTCTAGTGGAGAAAAATTTCCCACAGAGTTTAATCTCCTGAATGTCTCTGTCACCTCTGCTGTCACTCCAGCCACCAGGGGTTGCTAGAGGTTCGGGATCTGAAGGTGGGGCAGAGGCAGCTGGGGGTATCTAGTCTTTGCGTGTTAGGGCTTCTCTATCTTGCTGCTTGCATGAAAATGGTGCCTCTCCTGGAGCTGTGCCATCACTGACGCCTGTATTTCCAGTTCAAGCTGCATTCAAACCAGAGACTACAAATTACAGCAAATTTGTCCGTGGTTCAGTGATACTTGAATTTTGGTCTTCTTTGCCATTCATCCTACTGCTGTTTTCAGATTCCTGGTAGCTTTACCAGGCATTTTTTTTCTCCAGCTGTTACGGTGACATTCAGTGAGAGAAATGGTATAAAATCGTGTTCCACTCCACTTAACCCAAAATGGGAACTCTCCTGTCTTCCTTCTTAACCTCCACTCTGCACTGCTTCTCTTCTTTCAAGCAGTGATGGGGTGGCAGCTCGGATGGAAAGCCTGAAGGCTCTCTCTGCGTTGCTGTACTGTGCACACTCCCAGGCCTCAAGACAATTACTGCGAATGGGCGGTGCTTTATTTCCTCTCTTTGATAGTGGGTATTGTGACCTAGAAGGCACTGACACCAGATGGCAATTTTCAGTGTGAAGTATCATTTTGTGGAGTTTGAAGGTGTGTTACAGGAATTGTTTTCAGACCAGGAAAATCATCTTAGTTTTTGCATTTGTGTTCTCACTGTAGGGTAATCATGCTGTGTTATCACACTATCCTAGGTTTGCCCAAAGGACCAGCCAAAACCTCGCCTCAGGTCACACATACGATAATGTGAGTAACAAAATCCTTTGCTGGCAGTTCACCTAGTGAGCAGGTGATCATGAGCAAATAGCAATGTTCTATTCTGCATCCTTTAATATTTGGTTGACATAGCCCTCGTTAGGGTCTTTATCTTGTGTTTAGTATTTTGAAGCTATAGACACATTGAATGTCATTGTTAGAAAGATGGTTAAAGGTCATAATTTCATAATTTCTGGGCTTGGAATGTAGCTCAGTGGTACAGCACTTCCCTAGTTCATACAAGATCCCAAGTTTGATCCCCAGCACCATTAAAAAAACAAAAACCTTAGTTCTTTTACTATAGTTTATATTTGGAATCTCTCGTCTCTCTCTTTCCACTGTCTGTGAATCTTCAGGTATTCATCCCTACTAATCTCTAAATCAGTCTTATGAAGATCATCGTCTTCCATATAAGTAAATCAGTACTGTGATTCCCAGCCCTGGTCTTAGGTAATGCATCAGCAGCATGTGTCACGTTAATCACGTCCCCCTTGCACAATCGCCCTTGCACACTGACCTTCACACACTCCCATCAGTTAGTTCTTCTCCGTCTCTTTTCTTGGTCTTCGCTCTTCAGACTGAATTTCAGAGTTGGGAGCCCCAGGACCCCTTCAGACTTTTCTACCCTATCTACTTTCGTTACTTTGGTTTTCTCTCCCTCCCTCTCCCCCCACCCTCCTCTGAGACCAGGTCTCCTGTAACTAAGATTAGCTGTGAACTCCTAATCCTCGCCCTTTCACCTCCTAAATGGTGTGATTAAAACATCTTGGTGCTTTGGCTTAGTAGCTTAAAATAACCATTCAAATTTTGAGAGTCAGCAAGTTTGTATCTCCAGCCTAGCCCCTCTCCTTGAGCTCAGAATTCATATGTGCTTTACAGCTGCATCACCTTTTTCCCTGTCCCTGCTGTCAACCAGCTCTCCGGTAGACTTCCGCCTCACCCGGCAGCCACCCCACCGTCAGCTGCTCAGGCACCACCTTTTTACCTTTTGCTTTCAAAATATATTCATTTTCCACCTCTTACCCATTCACTTTTATATCCCTGAGCCATTATGTGATGGACACTGTACTGGCCTTTTCATGTTTACCCTGTTTCAGCTTTTGCCTTCTAAGCTCCTCAGCCTCACCCCATCTCTCAGTTTAGTCTTAAAAACTGAAACCCGAGGCAGGCATGGTAGGGCACACCTTCAGTCCTAGCATTCAGGAGGCCGAGGTAGGCCGATCTCTGTGAGTTCAAGGGCAGCCTTGTCTACCCAGCAAGTTCCAGGATAGAGGGTGAGCTCAAGACTAGCCTTGCCTATACAGTGAGACCCTGTTCTTTAAAAAAAAAAAAAAATTTCTTCTTGTATTCTTGTAATTCCTTACTCATTTTACAAGTATGTCCTGGATACCTACCTACATAGTGAGACTTTGTCTCAAAACACACACACACACACACACACACACACACACACACACAAACCTTAAACTAAATTTTATAGTGAGACTGTCTCAAACACACACACACACACAATACCTACCTACACAGTGAGACTGTCTCAAACACACACACACACGCACACACACAGCAAAACCCAAAACACCAACCAATTCAAAACCAACCAAACAAAAACCCAGAAACCTAAGCGGTTTTTTTTGTTGTTTTTTTTTTTTTTTTGAGACAGGGTCTCCCTATAGGCCCAGTTAGTCTGGAATGTACTCTGTAGACCAGGCTAGCCTTGATTTCAGAGATCCACCTGTTTCTGCCTCCCAAGTGCTGGGATCAAAGGTCTGAACCACCACACCCCACCTGAGCTGTCTTTTTAGTATTTTGTATACCTGTATGTAAGTGTACCCATGTCAAGCAGTGCCCACAGAGGCCAGAAGAGGGCATCGGATGCCCTGGAATTAGAGTTAAGGACCTTGTTAGCCATGATATGGGTTCTGTGAATCAAACCCCAGTCCTCTGCAGGAACAGGCTGTGCTCTTAACTCCGAAGCCATCTCTCCAGTCCTCTGAGTGGTCTTCAAAGTAGTCAGGCCACTTATCTGATTGCCTTCCCGTCCATCTTTGTCATAAAGCCTGAAATGCTGGTATCTCTCCATCTTCACCTCTTGCTTGTCTACCCTGGCTCACTCTGCTTCAACAATGATGGCCTCCCAACTTCAGAGCCTAGGAACTTGTATCTAGATAATCACAGGACCCCCTTCAGTCGATACTCTGCCTGATGTTGCCCAGTGGTGAGGCAGTCCCTGTGACCAGATTACCAAAGCAGAACCCCCATCTACATCAGCCTCTCTTCTCCCAGTTACCCTGTTTTTTCACCAGGGCACATGCTGATATTGACTTCCATTTCTCGTGTGATACAGAAGGACAGATAGTCTGTTTTTTGTTTTTTGATTTTTTTTTTTTTTTTTTAGAATTTCATACATGAGTATTGTATTTCATTATTTCCACCTTTCCCGGTTGCCTTCCAACTTTTCCCATGCCTCCCTCTCAATTTCCTGTCCTCTTTATTATTGTTACATATACATACATATATGTGTGTGTGTATATATATATCCACCCCATACACACACACACACACACTGTAGAGTCCATTTAGTGGTGCTCATGTGTACATGCATTTAGGGCTGCCCACTTGGGATTAGATAACCTCACTTACTGTCTTTGTCTTATCAATAGTGTCAGGTAGTAGGTATCCAGGACATATTTGTAAAATAAGGAAATTACAAGAGGAAGTTTTTGTTTGCTTTTATTAGACAAGGTCTCACTGTGTAGACAAGGCTAGCCTCAAACTCATTCCAGTCCTGCCTCAGCCTCTCAATTTCTGGGATTAAAGGTCCATCCACATCTGGCTAAAGAATATTCATCTTTATTTGTCTTGATTTGACAGTATCACTCGGTGCCTATTTGTAAATTTCAAGTTTCTTTCCTATTCAAGGCTGAAATTTCAGAGTGAAACAGCTGGACTGAGCCAGAAAATTCTGCTTCTAACAGTATTTTTTTATGCATTTTACATTTTATGTGGGAAATGGATGCCCATAAAACCATACAGAAAAGTAGTCAATTTTACAAGTAGTTATGACTTAAAAATGAAAGTAGTAAAAATGACTGGTCCTTATGCAGCTGAGTGTCTTTGGTTCTTGGAACAGTGCCATTTGTAAGCCTAGCAATCTAAGTAACAAAAATACCTAATGTAGAATGTGTCTGAATATGTGTTATGCTTTCTTCAGTTACTGGAACACTCAAGTTCAGTGTTACTGCAGCCAGTCAGCTTACAGACTACCACAGCAGCATCAAACCAGAGGCTACCACCCTTACCCAGCAATCATCCAGGTACACAAGACCTTATAGTTTGCATTAAAAGGGAGATTTGTGAGAATGCCTGAATCTTCTTCCAGAGATTACTTGAAAATAAAGGAGGTTATGGGAGCTAATTTGCTCTCCTAAATTGTAGAACTTAGGAGTAGCATTTGAACTCCAGTTTCTTTTGGTTGCATTTGTTGGCCTCATATGTAAAATCTAAATTAAATATTAAAAATTGTTACACTAAATAGAGTATACTCTTCAGAAGCACAGTGTGTCCTTACTGGAGTCTTTTATCACCTACAGTGATAACTAACAGTGATCCCCAGCAGCCACCCAATTACTATGAGGTAATGGAGTTTGATCCCTTGGCTCCTGCTTTCACTACAGAGTAAGTTGTTCATAAAATAAGTTTTGTTTGGTTCTGATAGCAGAGCTAACCCAGTTTGGTTATATATTTAACTTTGTTCAGGTCTTGGCAGAAATTGATGGTCCTGATAAAAATGATTTATGGGTTTTATGGTGGCTGTTGCTCTTAATGGGTTTTACTGCTATCAGCCTGTGGCTGAAAAGTCAAAATGGTGGGGTCCCACATCAAGAAGTAATGGAACCACCATTCTTTGTCGCTGCCTTGACAGAATGTGTCTCTCAAGCCTGAGAAGGGCCTTATTCACTGCTGACATCAAGATAATGCCACATTATTTTAATTGTTCCTTGAGAACTGAATCAAGACATGCAAAAGAACCTCCTGTGCCCACCATGTATGACAAAAATGTACTTTAAATTGACTTGCAATTATTTTTTTTTAATTAATTTTTTTTGAGACAGGGTCTCCCTATAGCCTCAGGTGGCTTGGAACTATGTAGACCAGGCTGGCCTTGAACTCAGATGGCCGCCTGTTTCTGCCTCCTGAGTCCTGGGGACTAAAAGGCATGTGCCACCACACCTGGCTGACTTGCAATTATTAACATTAAAATTGCTTTTTAGCCAAGAAGCAGAGGTAGGAGAATGGTAAGACTGAGGCCAGCCTAGGCTACATAGCAAGCCCTCCAAAAAGGGGAAAAAAAAGCTTTTACCTTAAAATCCTTAAAGTACCATTATTTTGATTTCCTGTTTGCCATGTTGTATATGTGATGGTAAGCTCATGGTTTTAGTATTATTTTGAGTGACAGATTACCTCCCTCCCCAAAACTACTGAAAATTCTCAAAACAAGTTTATGGAAATCATTCAGAAATTGGCAGCTTTTATAGGCTCTGCCTGGTCCACAGTTGCTTTGTTTGACCGGCACAGAACTTAAAATGTACATTTGAAGAATTACTAATAGTTCACATTAGGAGCCTGTACTTCTGTCTTTTACATGCTTGCTAAGGTTTGGAATAAGGAGGTGGACTCCTGTACATGGTGCGGTCTGTAGTTTACCAGGCCCTGGACATGATTTGCCAATTGCCTAGAACATGTAGGCATTTGATATATTGACCCCCTTATGTAAACCCTTAACGTAGGCAACAGTTTTGACATCATGTGAGTAAATGTTAATGACTTAGGAAACTGTTTATCTTTTTGAGACAGGATCTTACTGTAGGCCAGAACTGCCTAAGTAGCTGGGGCTGGCCTTGAACGCTGTTCCTGCCCTGACCACAAGAGTGTTAGGATTACAGGAATGTGCCACCACACCCAACTGTTATGCATTTTCCTAATTTAGGACGATGAAACTTCCCAAGTCACTTGATAAAATAGCCATATCATTGAATAATATTAGTAAAGAAAATGGTATTTAAATTAGGTATGAATTTTCAAATTTAATGTTCTTTCTGCATCCAGCCATGTATTTGAAGAGTTGCTGATCATATTCAGATTAAACTGATAGCTTCAAGTAGACATGGTACTTCAAGTACTGAAGGTGAGATGGTCATTAGGGAAGCTGGAGATGCAGAGCTTTGGACTCTACCACTGATTAACTTTCTGGGGGTCACAACAGATCAGTTCTTTTAAAAGTCTCATGAAATCCAGGGACTTTCTAAGGAAAAGCACAGAATCTTGAAAAAAATTTCTGGAGCTTTCACATCACTGGTTAACCATAAATCCCAAGCTAAGAATGTTTTCTCTTTGCTCCAGGAGGATATACATATCTCCAAATATACACACGGTTCATTTATTCAATATTTATTATATGCTGGTGGGAGTGACTGGTGCCTAATTTTGAACAAGACATGCTATCTGTTCTTACATTAAACATAATGTGGCAACAGAAATTAAATAAACTGGCAGGCAAATATATACTTGTAATTTGTGTCAAAAGTATGAAATAATGACTTGAGAATATAAAAGAACTAATTTAAACAGAGGTTAGAGAAACCTTGAGGAGGTAGCACTGTGAATTTGTGACAAGTCTATGAAACACTTTGAACAGAAACCCAGAGGAAAAAGCTTCGCACATTCAATGAATTAGAAATAACCAAAACCAAAAAAGCAAGAAAGTAACAGGCAGCCTAGTACCTAGTACCATTAGATGTGGAAACTTTATCTGTGTACAGCTGTGATGAACACTACTGAGCTGGCAACCAGGTTGAAAACTGAAATCTAGATAATGGATTAAGTAATATGGAAATTGGTGATTTTTATTAAAAGCCATTTTAGTGAATTGAGGACAGGACCCAATTTCAGTGTTACAAGGTAAATAACAGATGAAGTGAGTATATACAAGTAACTTACTAGAACTTAAATGTGAGGACATGACAGACATCTGGGAACTAGAGGATTGAGGCAAGTTATAAGGAGACATGGGATGAAAAGCAGTTCTGTTATAGAAGTGGGAGCTACTGGAATACGTGAATGCTGAGTGCTAGGGCTAGTGCAGAAAAGATTGAGAGGGGGTTTGCTGAATGAAGTGTTTGAGAAGATGGATAGATAGGACCACAGATAGATAGGATCACGGAAATAAAAGACAATGCACATGAAAATAAACTGGAAATTAGTGATAAGGTAAGTTTCTATAGTAAAGCATATAACTTAATTAGTGAGGTTTCTTAGAGATAAATGACTTAAAGAGAATAAAGAAGATTGAAATTGCTTTGTAGAGTAAGAAGGTGGGGCTGGAGAGATGGCTCAGTGGTGGTTCCGCATAGTAGCTAACACTGTCCACAACTCCAGTTCCAGGGCATTCGACACCCTCTTCTGACCTCTGGGCATTGCACAACACAGGTGCACTTACATAAATGCAGGCAATACACCCATACACATGAAATTAATAAGTAAAATATTTTTAAAAAAGAAAGTAAGAAAGTGGTCTTTTTAGTTATTGTCATAGTACTGTGAATTGTAAGATTTTTCCTTAACTGTTTTGCTATATTCTGTGTATGAATACCATTTTGGGTACAGATATTTTCTAGCTATAGACATGTAAAACATAAAAAAACTAAAGAAAATTTAAAATTTTTAATTTATTAAAGGTACAAATATAACCATTACAAGCTAAAGGTTTCTCATAAGTTTGGATTCTAATACAATATTAAATAAAGTAGAATATTAACATTTTTTAAATGTTTTGAAACTAGAAGTTGATTTTAAATTAAAAAAAAAAATCAAAGTACCTAAATTTGAACCATACTTTTTCTTTAAATCAGAAGTAAAAATAAACTGATCTTGAAAGGCACACATTTTTAATAGACATGGACTCCAGGTCTTTGTTTTTATTCACTAATGATGCCTGACCTCCCAAAATAGCCAGATCTTTAGTTCTGGTGCTGGTGACACAGCACTTTGAAATTGGTATGTAATTCTTTTGCCTTGGTGGCTTTGTTTCAGAGCTATTTATGAAGAAATTGATGCTCACCACCACAAAGGAATTCACAGTGACTCTTAAGGTAATGATGTCCATGTATTTAGTTATCACATTTTGTATTCAGTGTTTATATTTTTTAAGGGCCATCTAAGTCTGACAAGTTAGTGAAGTAATGAGTTCTTCTGAATTACTCAACTGTGTTATTAATGAGATAAAATCTCTGTGATCCTATCAGCTAGAAATGAGGCAGAAGAATTCAAACGTTGGGTTTTGGGAAAAGAAGTATTAATGTTAACAAAAAAAATCCTTGTCATTTTAATGTGCTTTAATGTGTACTTAGTACCTGTTAGCTGGTAGGTACCAACAGAACCCATTCATTGTCAGTTTTCCAAGTAAGTCTGGGCGTTTTCTACTTGCTGCACAGTTGTCCTATTTACTTACACTCCTTAGTGTTTAGTAATGCTGGGTCTCCACTGACCTGTTCACTTCATTTAATCCCCTCACACCCACCACCATGGAAGGACATTCCTGCCTTTCCTCTACTTGACTGTGTGGCTTTCTAGTCTTTCAATGGAGAAAAAGAGGTGACGAGAAGTGAAGGATTGGGCAATCTCTTCTCTTTTAGATGAGTGGTCCTCCCACTAGGAGCTGGAAGTGTCAACTCTGTAGTTGTCCTTGTTTAGCTCTGAGGCCTGAAAGATAAGACCTGCCAACATGGGAAAGCCACAGCGGACCATTTCTCCTCTGCTAAAATGAAGTTTCAATAGAAAAATAACATTTCTGGACTAGTATTTGTGGTTCCTGACAAGGGTTCAGATACCCAGCAGAACCTGGTTAAAACAAGTATTTAAAACTTCAGCAGAAGTTAAACTGCTTAGAACTAGGCCAACTCATTAAACGGGAGTATCTGGTGTTACACAGCCCTTTCTACAAAGAGAAATCACAGAGCTATGATAATGGTGCATGAAGACTGCTCTGCTACAAAACAACTGTGAACAGATGGAAGCAGGGAACTTGAGAGACCACGTATTATTAAAGAAGAGTATGAGTGCCTTCACTTAACTGAGTCTGAATGTAAAAGTCAATTTGCACTTGTTTATAAATAATACTTTGGTCTAGAATTGTTTTGAGCATGATGACTGTAGTTTGTATTTCAAGTGCCTGAGCATGCCACTGCTAGATGCATCAGGTGGCCTTTAGATGATTCTTTCCATTACATGCTCTTTCCTTTTGCTGTAATTTACATTTCTATTTGAAACAAAGACTATTGGATAACATTTAGAATAAGTTGTGCAGGGTTCACTTAAATTAAAATTATTATTAAAATTGTTTGTCAGAATTTTTTCCTTAAAGAATACAGTAAAACTTCACAATTCCATCCTTACATCTTTGAACTATGAAGTAAATGCAGCAAAGCCTAGCAGGTAAATTCCATTTTATTTCATGATACCATAATTTCCAAGTGATTATTCAGTACTCTGAATAAAATAGTCCTCAACCTTAAAAGACAAGTCTACCTTGAAATAGAATGCAAACTCAAGCAAGCTGTTAAAGCTCAGTCTCACTTTAAGCATGCCATTGTTTGGCTCACTAGGTAAAGGTGCTTGCCAACAAGTCTGACATCCTGAGTAGAGTCCTGGGACCCACATGATGGAAGGAGAGAAGTGACTCTCCCAGGTTATCCACTGACCTCTACACATACTGTAGCATGCATGCCCTCAACCCCCCGCCCCGACACACACACAAAATAAATGTAAAAAAAAAATTAGTGTCAATTCATACTGAAGGAAAACAGCAGCCAACTAGCTTGGAAATAAGTTCTGGCTTATGACCTTAAACAAATAAATTTGGGCAAAATTTCTTGTTTTAGATTTCATATTCACTGTTAGAAGGCATGAAGGGCTAATAACTTAGAAGGGAACTAGAGAAGCTAATCATTAAAGTGGTGTGTGATGTGTGTGGACATGCGGGCACCCGTGCCACAGCATGCATGCGAGGCAAGACAGCTTTCTGGCACCTGTTCTCGCCTTTCACCATATTCTGAAGCAGGATTTCTCTTATTTCTGCTCCATGCCGCGGCATGTTCTAGACAAGGCAGTTCTGACTCAGCCTCCCATTTTGTCACAGGAGCTGTGGGGCTGCAGATGAGCGCTACTGCATCCACCTTTTTTAAGGTGGGTTCTGGAGATCTGAACTCAAGTTGTCAGGCCTATGTGGCAAGCCCTTTTACCTACTCAGCCATCTGTCTGGCCCCTAAAGCACTTCCTAGTACTGTAACACCTCGCAGTCACATGTTCTTCACGTGGGCTTCTTGCAATTAAAAGCTAAACCTGTTCTCTCAGTATTAAGTGGGGTAAATTAAGCTGTTGAAAAAGAAAAGTATAACCACCATTTAAAATACAAGGTTCCATTCACATTACTGTAGAATATTTCTCTTCTGAGAAAGCAGAATACATGATTTTTCAAAAATCACAAATCTGAAGCAGGTCTTCAAAGCCACTTCAATTATAGCCTGGAACTGGCAACTTGTGCCCTTCCTTGGCTTCAAAAAAAGTGTAAGAAAGGGTGATGAGATCAACGTTCACCATTCTTGGATCTTCTGCAAATTCAGGATCAATGTAGAAAAACACAGGCATATCTACTTCTTCTTGTGGATTGAGCCTTTGTTCTTCAAAACAGAAGCACTGGGAGGTACAGAAAGACACTCGGTCAGTGATATTTCTACACTGTGACTTACAGTTGCCTTTACGCTCCATGACAGAACAGCAACACCTTTTCATCGCCAATGGAACTTTTACTTCTAATCTTAAAAGCAAGTATGTGTTCAATGTCCCTCTCAATCTCTACCTCAGGGAGAAACACTGAAGATAAAAATGGCTTTACATTTAGAAGAAATGAGCATTTATGTATTTATTTATTTGGGTATTTTTGGAACAGCACCTCATACTGTAGCCCAGGTTGATCTAGGCCTCATTACATACCCCACGCTGGCATCTTCCCCATGGTAACCCTCCCATCTCACACTGTGAGTATTGGGATTACAGGCATGAACCACCATACCCAGCCAGAAATGAATTTTTAGAAATTAAAAGTACTTCATTTATATGATGCAGTTTCAAATACTTTTATCAGTCGACTTTCAGTTTACCTGTATTTTATTGAAATACTGTCCAGCTTCAAATGGTACAACATTATATGTAGAAATTCCAATTACTGGTTTGTCAGTAGGATTCTTAGCTTTATAAAATGCCAGTGCAGTCTCTCCTGGTACCACCTGTTTCAATAAATACACATTAAATCTGACACCATTCTTCTCCTACTAAAGAAGAGTCAAAGTATTTTTCCTCAGCATCAGACCATAACTTAACCTAAAGTACTGCATTACCCACAAACCTATCTGAGCTTCAAATTTACTTGGATGTGTCAGTAAACTTACCTTAAATATGGATAAATTTACAACAGTAAAAATGACAACAGAGTAAAAGATATTAATACATTGAGAAATCACAAAAAACATCAAGCCAACGCTTGGTTGAGGAAAGAGGATCATGAGGCCAGCTTGAGCTACATAGTGAGACTCTGTCTTAAAAAATTTTATAACCTATGACAAGTGTAGGGTCTAACAAAAAGTAGCCATTCCAAAACAGTGCCATATTCCAGGAATAATTCCACTTCTTGAATCATATTTCATGAATACAAGTATAATTATTTATGGGACCCATTACCATATAAGTTTTGATAAGTGTAATACTTCAAGAGATGAACCTACTTTTACACTGACAAAATCTTTTGCTTTGTGTCAATTCTTAGACATTTACTGAAATAATAATTTTGCATATTAATGCATTCACTGTGATATTACCACACATATAGAGTATGCAATGTCCATATTCAATCATTCTTCCTCAGGCACCCCCCACATCTCCTTATGCCCTTCCCATTCTCTAGTAATCCTCTGTTACTTTCGGATTAAAATATCCTATTGTAGTTCCACATCTGAGAGAGAACATGTGATACTTGTCTTTGTGTGTCTGGCTTATTTCACTTAACATGATGTTCCCCAGTTTCACACAATTACTTAGAGTAGTTCATGTTTCATTACAGTAGAACTCCACTGTGGTTACATAAGATATTTTCTTGATCTATTCTTTGTTGCTAGGCATGTAGGTTCATTTCATTTCTCAAGAATTGTGAATGGTGTACTACTATAAACATAGGCATACAGGTGTTTCTTTTTAATGCTGACTTTAGTCCATACATATATACATATATACTGCAGTGTGTTGGATCATATAAATTTATTTTTTATGAATTTTGATCATATGGAGGGTCCTTCCTATATCTGAACCCTCCGCTTTCTAACCCATCCACCAAATTTATGTACTCTACTATCTATAAAGGCCTATAGAGTCAGGTTTGTGTCCCCAAATCTCCTTTGGGGGCAAGGTCATCCACTGGAGCCTGGCCAATCTACTAAGAGTGTCACCCTTAAATGAGCCTGAATCTCCCCTTTCCCAGCAGTCACTGGTTTTCAGGAGTTCCTCAGATAGGGTTGGGGTTTTTTACCTACTTCCCCAAGTCTATGTTGGGGTTTTGTCAGGCTCCAGCTTACATGAACTTGTCCACGTTGACAAAAGTAATATAATGACTACTTTAATCACTTACATATATCTCCGTCTGCTGAGGCCTGAAGTTCCACTGGAGACTTGCATGCACATCTGCATTAAAGGTAACCTTAATGATTCGATCTTTAACAGGAATCATGTTTTCGATCTGGTCTGATGCATGACCTGCTACTGCTGATCCTCCAAGCCCAGTAGTCTAGAAAAAGACATTAAATATATTAGGTTGTATTTTCAGATCCTATATTTATTGGATGAAAGTACAATTTTAAAAAACAATTTACTGTTTGGAGCCAAATTCCTATACTACCCATGGCAATTTCCTAAAAAATGTATCAATAATTTGTTCATTTGGGGGTGAAAAGAATCTCTATTTGTTAAAGTGATTCCTATTTTTTTTCCATCAATGAGTCATTAAGAAATGCAGATTCTGAGGATAGGCAAACTATTATTACTGACAAAACAGCACAGAATTTCCAGCTTCACTTTTATTAAACTCAGTTCCCTTCAGTGCTAGTATAGACTCTTAGATTAACTATTATTCATGGAAAGAAATAAAAGTTTACCCAAACCTGGTCATTTCTATGGAAATATTTCCACCTCTCCATGTTTCTGATGGATCCTTTACTGTATCACAGCTTTCACTGTTCAAATTAGTGTGTAGTTTCCCTTTTATATCCTGCCTTTCTAGGGCATCATAAATGTGTTCCCATGTCTGCTGTTTTTGTGCCATTTTCTAGACTTCTCTGCATATAATACATAGCTTCTGGATCTGTCACCACCAGTTACTGGGGGCACTCGATTGTTCTGGACACAGTCAACTCTCTAAAGCATCCTGCCATTTCTTCCTGGCCATTCTTTCCTTATCTGATAACAACCACCAAACAACAAAACCCCCAAAGCTGTTTAAGATGTCATTCTTCTGATGCTTGAAGTTACCTGAATTCCAATTTCCAGATAAATTGCTTATACTTTAGTAGAAAAACAAAATGCCAGATCTGAGGCTAAGGGAAGGAGCCCTCCAAGATACTGTATAACTTAACTATCTTCTTTTACTTGTTTTTCAAGTCAACTAGCTTCATTAAATTTCCTCTCAAAAACTGTCATACTATCATCCTAAAAGATGCCTCACAGGGCAAGTTTTTATCCTATTTAACAGGCAAGTATATTATTATTCTGCCTAAAAGATTTGAGTTTTAACTTGAAACTTTTTCTTAAAGAATTTAAGTCACTTGGGGCAAGTGAGATGTCTCAGTAAGAGCACTGGCTACTCTTGCAGAAGATCCAGGTTCAATTCCCAGCACCCACATGGTAGCTGACAACCATCTGTAACTCCAGTTCCAGGGGATCCCACGCCCTCTTCCGACCTCCGTGGACACTGGACAACACTTAAATATGCGTAGGCAATACACTCATATACATTAAAAAAAAGTATTTAAGTCATCTAATAAAACACTAAGCCCTTCAATAATGATTCCTTAATATATTCTTGGAACATATATTCTTCAAGTTTCTGAAGTTAGGGGTTTAAATTAGATAAACGGGAAGGGGGAAAAAGCACTGAAAAGATATCCTGGGCTCAAGTCTAGTTCTACTAATTGAATCCTGTTTCTTTGGGTTACGTTTCCCGTGCTCATAAAATGATGTCACTATATTACACAGGTTACTTACTACATTTACTTCCTTATTTCTGGCTCTAAAATTCTGTAGTTCCGGAAGTAGCAGAGGCATCCTTTGAGAAATACAGTTTTAACAGCCAACCCGACTTTAAGATTAAACCTTCCTGCCCTGCGAAAGCATGGGCACAGACACACAAGTCTTGTCAATTACTTCGGTTTCTCAGTCTCAGCACTACTGACTAGGGTTGGATGACTCAGTTTGGGGGGCGGGCAGGTGTCCTGCGTATTGCTGGACTTTTAGCATCTCCGCCCACAGAATCCCGGTGGTTCACAGAATGGATGTAGTGCAAGGACTACATCTTAAAAACTGCGCCCTTTTCTGCGGCGTGGGCACGCTGCATGCTGGTTGCAGGTAGCCCTGGCCGTGCCTCCAGCTGCAACCCGCGGGGTGCCGTCGGGGCGCCAGCGCCGCAGCTCTGGCCCCCGGCCTACCTGGCAGTAGAGCCGGTAGAGCGGCACGGCGGCGTAGGACGCCCCCAGCATGCCAACCGCCGCGGCTGCCACGTACGTGAGCACCGTGCGGTTCCGACGCCTCCAGTCCTCGTCCTGCGCGCGCTGGAAGCGGCTCGTGCTCTTCGGCCTCCGAGGTGGGTCCGCCGGACCCCGGGTCAGGCGCGTCCACGTCCCGAGACGCCTCCGCCCACTCCACGCCGGCCTAAGAAACGCCTCTACCTTCTCTACAGCCCCGGTCGACGCCCCAGCGCGGCTCCAACGCCAGCCACCCAGGGAGATGCACCACCATCCCGAAAGCCAAAGCCCTCCCATAACCCCTGGAAAGAACGCCCGCCGGTCAGGGCCGCGGAGCCAGATCTCGCGAGATCTTCCGTGTCTCGCGGTAACTGGGTCGCGCCTGGCCGCTGCCTTGGCTACCGTACTCCTCGGGTAGCAGTCGGGCTACGGAGGCCGGGTGGCCAGGAGCCGGTAAGTTCGCGTTTTGCTCTGTGGCTGTTCTTCCCACTAAGTTTCCCTCCAACTCCTCTTTAATGTACTTTGAGGAAAACACGTCCGGATCTTCCTAGTGCCAGCGCATCCCTGGGATGTACCTCCATCCTTTGTCTCAGCGGCCCCAGGGCTGCCTTCCCCCGGGCGTCCACTGGGGCTGCCTTGGCGTCTGGTCCCTGTGTACTGCCTGGAAAGCTTGCTGTGTGAACCTCGTCCTTCTCCAGCTCCCTCGTCTTCTGCTTCTCAGCCCCTGGGCCGTGGGCTTCGGCTGCATTGATGCCCCTTTGCTAGTTGCCGGGTAAAGGTGTGACTTCAAAGATACCCTGGCAAAGAAGTTTGTTTACAGTTAGACAGTGACCCGAATTATGAGGGCTTTCAAGGAGGGGTTGAAAGAAAGAAGAGCGTGCACTTTGAAGGCAAAGACCCCGGGGAGGATGCAGTAGCCTTCAGCTCTCTTACAGCACAAGGACCACTATTAAATAGTGGGGAAAAGTTCATATTCTGAGGTTAGGCATTAGTGCACTTACTAGTTTCTTGACCTCTCCATACCTGCCGGCTTTATTTCAAAAAATGGAAATCATAGGACAGTAGTTAATGAGGATAAGCAGATAAAGTGATTTTCCCACTGCTTGAGGCATAGTATTTGTAAATTGGGTCTTAAATTGGCTAGAACAGAACCAATTATCCCCACTTTGTGGATGAGGAGGAGACTGAGGAACTTTCAGTCATACAGCTGTACTGACCCATGCGATTTAATTTGGTGGGGTGTCTTTCAAAATAAGGTGCATTCAGTTTTGTTGTTGATTGTACAGTCTACCGAAGGACTCTGGAGGTAATAAACTGATAAATAAGGGAATTTCAGTTAAGAATTCCTGAAGGGAAAATAGCGCGTCAGTGGCATGAAGTAATTGAGCATGACGGGGAAACGAGCTCCTAAGGTCATGTCCTTGTGAAGAGGTAACAGTAAGACCTTTCTGGAGGTAACATTTGATGAAGAGCTACCTACACAGTAGCAGTTCCAGGTCATGCAAAAACCCAGAGGCAGGGAGGAGTTCGATTTGACTAAGAACAGAAAGGGGGTCAGTGTGATAGGGCATGGTTGAAGTGCGGTCCCAGGAGGAACACAGAGACCCGGTGTTACAAAGCCACTGAAGCCAGCCGAAGGGAAGCTGTTGTGAGTGTTTGAAACACAGGAGTGATTTGATCTGATTTGATTCTCACTGGGGAAAAAAGATACCGAGAATGAAAGGCACTGGAGTGGAAGCAGCAGCTGGGAGGTGGGAGTGGTAGATGTCTGAGTGACTGTGCCCTTGAATAAGTAACTGGTTACCTAGTGGCCACAGAGCCACAAAATTGCACCGCCAGTTAAATCCAAAAGGTTTCTGACACCCTCCCACTCAGTATGTTGTCATACAAGTTTCAAGGCTATGTGACTCTACACATTTCATTACGTTTTGTTATGACACTGTTTAATCTATTTTTCATCTGTGTGTGCCTTCATTCTGACACCAAATTGTCAAAATTTCAGGATAAAAATCTCTCATTTTATTGTACTTTTGGAAATTTATTTTTATTTTGTGTGTGTTTTGCATACATTTATTTAAGTGCATGTAGTGCCCATGGAGGTCAGCAGAGGGCATCGGATCCCTTGGAACTGGAGTTATCATTAGTTGTTGGCTGTCATGTGTGTGCTCAGAACTAAACACAGATCCTCTGCAATAGCAGCTAGTGCTCTTAACCACTGAGCTATCTCTCCAGCCTTAAAATCTCTCATATTTTACTTTTCTTACAGCACAGACTCAAATCTCATGCTAACATTAATGTCCTTTAAACCTACAGTATATTTTCTCTGCTCCCCCCATGGGTACACTCTTCCCATGTCATTCAAGGCAGAAATATAAATATGTCAGTAATAGAGTTATCTTGAACTTACTAATTTTTATATTGAAAAGTAAACAGGTAGTCATTTGATAGCAATATAGTGATGTAGGTCTTTCTAGCTTTCTCTTTTAATAAAAGTAAATATACATCACATCCAATCTTAATATGGTAAAATGACAGTTCATGTTTATAAGATATTTCTAGGTGATAGTTAAAATAGTTCAACCTCCAGTTTTTACTTTGAAATAATTTAAAAGCTACGTAAAAGTTGCAGAAATAATGCACAGATTTTCCACTTATCCTTCACCGATATTCTGTAATCTTTTCAGATCTTTGAACCATTTGAGAATAGAGCACAGACGTGATCTTCTGGAACTGTAAACTTAATACTTGTGTATTGATTGCAGGGAGACAGTACAGCCACGAAAATCGGGGGTTTAACATTAATCCAATATTACTGTGTAGTCACTTTGGACTGCCATAACAAAACAGCATAGTCCCAGTTAATTGGCAAATTGATTTCTCATGTTTCTGGAAGCTGGGAAGTCCAAGATTCCCTCACTTCCCCGGGAGAAGTCAGCACACTTTGTGATGTGATATCTGTCTTATAAGGTTACTAACCCCATCAATATTCCACCATTATGACCTGAGTTAACCTTAAGAACTCTTGAATCTAGATACACTTAAACCAGGGGCTGATGTGTCAATATAAGAATTTTGGGAAGTGCATACATTCAGAGAATGCTGCGATCCATGTTTAAATTAGACCACTTATCCCAGATATTTCCATTTAGTCCAAGATGTAGTCCAAGATGGTCCCTTATTTCCAGTTGCTCTGCCTCTTCAATTTTTACCATTGTCAAATAATTCCTTAGCCTTTCTTCTCTCGTGACAGTGGTATTTTTTTTAAATAATACAGGCTGGCCAACTGGTACAGTGACCCTCAGCAGGGTTTGTAGAGTGCGTGTGTGTTCTTCCCCTCTTGCATATGTTAATTTGCTCATTGTTTACATCAGTACAGATCCACGAATCCCTTCTTTAATCCAGGGCTAAAACTTACTGTTGCCATGTGTATCCTGTAGTTTTCCTCCCCTAACCTTAGAGCCAGCAATTACTGCAGGAGTTTTGGTTTCTTTGGTGGAAAGTGGTATTTAGGAATCTGGGCACCAGAAGTGGTCATTGGTGCTAGACTTTCTCAATAAAGAGGACTAGACAATTTGTATGTAATTTGTACGTGTAGACTTACAGTGTGTATGTGTGTAATAAACATGAGAAATCTGTCTCCGGTTAATGTATATGCTTAGTTTACCTGGTACATCAGCACGTACCATGAGCTCATTTCTGCCTGGCATACCAGCCCAAAGCTGGAATGTGCTCCATTTAGGGACCATCTAGCAGCTCAGCAGGACAAAAGTGAAGAGAAAGAAATAAAAAGAAAAGTTTAATTAGACTGTTCAGCTCCAGACAGTTTTGAAGGATCAGGAGGAAGGAAAAAAGGCCCCTTAGGAAGAGTTTGACTCTGGAAACATGTTCTGTACTCCCTACCCTTTCCCAAGCTCAGCAGTGAAAGCAGCCAGTCTCCTTTATTTTACAGATGAAAACAACAGACTTAGAACATTAAAGTTACTGTGCAAGCATATTCAGTTAGATATAGTGACAAAGCTGGAGATTATGTTTAAAATTTGTTGTGGCTTTTATTTCTTGCTATCTTTTCTCCCTACATCTTATAGAAAGCAGCTTTGCAGTAGACAATGATAAGCAACAACAAAAACTCAGCCCTTTGTTTTTCGGTATCATGAAATGTTTCTTCTGCCTTGGTTAAATCATCATAATGTGTTTAGATGTCTGTTTGTAAGGTGTCATTTTAAGAAATGATTTCTCAACAAACTAGTGTTAAATATAGGACTTAAATCAGAGAATAGTGTTGAGACCTGGGCTCAGGACTTTGTTTGATAATAAAAGGTCTATATGCATAGCTAGAAGAAGAATGCTCTGTTGGGAGATACTGAAATAATGGCTTTTCTCTAAAGATTTAAATGACTGCATTGCCCTAGGCAATAATTCTGGAAAGTATGAGTGGGCTTATGATAGGGCATAAATCATTGTGGTAACTAATGCTAAGTAGTTTGCCCTGGATGGAATGTGAGCTCCTCTAGGCATAGCAGCTAGTCTATCCCTTTCCTGCTGCTAGCAGTGTTATTGCATGTTTAAATTGGGAAGCCTAGACTGCCAAGACTTGACATTTAATTTCCAGTATCATTCTTCAGCAGAAAATAATTAAGCCTGGTAAACACTTCCTAGTTAGCTCTGATTATGTCCAATTTTGCATATAAGGCAAAATAAATTATTCCTCATATAAACTTTTGATAGTCACATGATGTTGTCGAACCTGATGGCCAATTTTCAGGTTTTCCAAAGACTTAAAGATAATGAAGTTTAAAGTTTGGTGTGTAGTTACAGTTTTCAGTATTTTTAAAGCATAATAGAAGAAAATTGCAAGTTCAGCTTAATATATATTAATCACTGATCTGTATTTCCTAGCTGTTTGTTTGCTTAATAAAACTACTAGATTCATTTAGCAATGTGAGATACTGAGCAATTATTCTAATAGTATTAGCTGTTTATTTTGGAGGTATTTATATAGTATATGTGCATGAAATATGAAGGGTAACATATAAATAGTAATAAAAGGAATTGTAATTTAATTGAAAGCAGGCTAGACAACCACTATATTCCAATCATTGCACAGCAGTGCCATGAGGTTACCTCACAACTTCTTGATAGTCTTGTTTCCTGGCAGCTGCCTTAATGCTACTTTATTATTGTCATTGTTTTGTTTGTTTGTTTGAGACAGGGTTTCACGTAGGTCTAGCTAGCCTAGAACTTGCTATATAGACCAGGCTAGCCTCAATCTCACAGAGATCCACTTGCCTCTGCCTCTCAAGTGCTGGGATTAAAAGTAAAAATCCCTTGCTGGGAT